ACAACATGAAGATTGGCGATGTTATTGACTTCAGAGGGCCAAATGGACTCCTTGTCTACAAAGGCTCAGGTACTGTTACACGAAGGGAGGAAAACAAAAGGGAGGAACTTCTATTAGTTATTCTCAGAGGTATTTTGTAAATCTTGGTAACTTTGTTGTAGAGGAGCAGTTTTGAAAAGTGAGAAAATCCACCTCTCCCGATCTTGACCATGAGCCCATCAGAGATGATTGTGATGGGTAAAGGTCCTTAGTGTTTAACAGAGTAATAGCTGTTTGTTGTCTTGCTCCTGGGACCACGTAATTAAATCTGGATAATCTCCTATTGCATTATATCGCTAGGAAGACTGCACTGCAAACACCTCAGACGTACATACAAGAGATGTTCCAGATGCAAGGGAGGTTGTGGCCTAAAATGCCACAAGATTCTGAGAATCTCAGTGTTGTTACTGAACAACCCGCTGACTGTCAGCCAGCTCCATTTCATTATTAAGCCAGGTCTGAGCTGACTGGGAGGAAGCTGTATGTCCAGAGAAGTAATCCTCTTTCAAGATGCAAGTATAAGACCAAAGGATTTTGCATTGATCTTGACTGAGAGGGACTGCGCACTTCAAATTCCTGCTTCAGGGGGATCAGTGCTCAGCACTTTTCTGGATCATCATCTTTTATGATGAATCGTACACTGATGAATCTGTTATATCTCAGAGGAAATGGGTGAAGAATGTTTTGCAAATGTTCCTTTCTGTGCTGCTGCTGTTCTTTGCTTTCAAGAGCAAAGTAGCTAGGAAGGCTTGTTGCTACTTACAGATTTTGTGGAAGATCATTGGAATATGTCAAGTACCTTTCACATATGATATTTTTAAGGGCTTTATGTGGACACGTGGAAGTGTCTGCGAATGAGAATGATGATTGCCTTAGAAATCTGCTTCTCTGTATGTGCCGGGGTTACCTTTATCTGCCACTAACCTTCATACTTGCTGAGCAGCCAGTGATGTGGGAACCTATTACAAATGATAATGGTAGCAGGGAAGGAGTAAATCACTGGCTCAAAGTTGGTTGTTTATGTAGACAAAGAGGTTTCTATTCATGCTCAGTGTTGTGCTAAGCACGTTTAGCATTTACAGATCTGTCCTAATTAATTGATAGGCTGTAGGAATACATTCCCATGGAACTTGTATCCATTTTTGTTTAGGAGGTAATGTACCTATAGATGTTGAATATTTCTTCTAGGTACCTTTCTTATCAAGCCTGATAAGAAGTCTGAAGCACAGAAGAAGTTTGCCAAGCATGTTGGGATGATAGCTGGAGGAACAGGTAAAACTACTTTCATTCTCTAGAGTATCACTGTGTAGCAGTGTAGCAGTTCACATAGAGTGATACAGCAGTATCACTAGAGAATGAAGAGATCTTCATGGATGCTTGTGAGGAGTGTAAAACACTCTGTACTTGGAGAGCAAAGTGCTCCCATTGTCACAGTCTGAGCTGCTCTAACACTGCTGCATGGGTTTGACATCTAGGTCCACTGGGTTTAAGGAACACATTTTTAGTTGGTTTTTAGTTTGCCTTTAGTTTCTCACTGTTATAGTCTGCCAGTTATAGGCAATAAACTGCATTAATCTCCCTATGCTGAGTCTTTTGTCTGTGATGGTAATTGGTGAGTGATCTCCCTGTCCTTATCTCAACCCTGAATACTTTCCATCTTATTTTTTCCCCCTCCCCTTTGAGGAGGGGGAGCAAGAGAGTGGTTGTGGTGGAGTTCAGCTGCCCAGCTAGGTAGAACTGCTACACTGAGCTCCAGTGTCAATAACAAAAACTAATTTAGGAGAACGTCCTGAGGGTTAAATTACTGGATGTGATAGAGAATGCTGAAGAGGAAAGCCCCAAATCCATGTACTGTGGTTTTGTTCTCATTTTTAAACTTGAAATAAACTTTGTAACAACAAAAAGCCCGGACCTCTGCATTTGGCATGGATTAAAAATTCAGAGGTTTGTAGCCCTGTGCAAACTAAGCTCCCACTGAAGACTGATGAAGACTGAGGGAAGATAGCAATAATATTGAAACTGCAGCCTTACATGGGTTGAAAGACAGACCTGTTTTTTAACTGCTTTGTTTTGAACAGGGATAACTCCTATGTTGCAGCTTATCCGTCATATCACAAACGATCCTAAGGACTCTACAAAATGCTACCTTCTCTTTGCTAATCAGGTGAGCATTCTGTCCCATCTGTCCTTTATTAATGGTATAACTTTCCTGTTGGCCTCTGAGTTTTTGAAGTTGATGTGACATTGAGAAAATACTGCTCTGCATACATATACTTCATATTCTTCAAGTTTCTCTTTGATCTGTAATTTCAGCCAACCATATGTGACAAATGATATGATCTGAGGTGGCCTATCTAAAATGATCAGTATAGGTGGGAGCAGGAAGTGTTTATTATGTAAGTTCTTATTATGCTGTCTTGGGGTGAAGTGATTTATGGAGAAAGCGAATCAGAAAATTAGATGTAAGTATATAAATACTGCATGGTGCTGCTGTGGTTCCAATGCTCTTTTACTTGTTTTGAAGATGGCACTGCATAGTTCCACCTATACTCCGTAATTCCTGTATTGGAGTAAACAGTGTGAATAGATCCTTGTCCCTCTGCTCAGCTTACTCTTCATTGGTTTCAGTGAAACAGGATTTTGTTCTGTTTATCTGTTTCTAGTGATTCACCATGCTGTATTTGCTAGGGTCAGACAAATCCAGCTGTGATTTTAGCCTGGCTTCAAAAGTTGTTCAAATTGCTATCTTTAAAATTGTGTTCAGGTGACTACTAAGTCTCATAGTTTGTTGCTTTTTGTCTGAATTTACAGATGGTAGTACTGATAACAGCCTATAATGTAAGGGAAAAAAACACACTTTGTTGGAATGAGTTATCATTGCATTTGTCTTGCTGCATGCTAGATAAGCTCACATCAGAGGGCATCTTGAGATGGTTTGGAGTTAAACAGCAATCTTACTTTGCAGACAGAAAAAGATATATTGCTAAGAGCTGAGCTGGAGGACATTGCCAAGAAGCACCCTGATCAGTTCAAAGTATGGTACACCCTGGACAGGCCTCCACAAGGTAGGCCACTGGTACACACTGGAAACATCTTTACTCCTCATTGTTTAACTGTCACAGTTTCACTCTTGTGAAAACTGCTGCTGTTTTTGTAACCCCAGCATTCCAGCATTCTTCTCCTGGTGTATCAGCTTAAAGCACATACTTTCATATGTGGAAATAGATTTTTCCCATTTGGCTCACTTAAAGTGGTAGAATCATTAAATATTAGTCCTTGAAATCATTTAGTATTTCACTTTTTCTTTTTAAAATCTCTTAAAACTATACTGCAGAACTTCTGTCATCATTAAGCTTCTGCCACCTCACCACTGAATTTCTTTTCCTGTTTTTTTCTGAATGTGCTGAGTGGCACAGGTCTCAGTACCTGTCCCAGTATGACAGCTCTGGGTGACCTCTCTCCACTGGAAAATTGTATTCTTTCTGTTTATTCCCACCTGATAGCTAATTTCTTTTAAACCTATCTTTTATTCACAGACCTTCATGTGTGAAGGTCTGCACAAACCCCTTTCAACCAGATTCTTGCTATCCCATTCAAAAGGGACCACTAGGTTCTGAGCTCAGCGATTTGACCCTATCTTTGCTCACAGTGATCGTGGCATAACTTTGCTGAATCTTCAGCTGCTTTGTAAGTACAACATATGCAGTTAGCTTTTTTTGCCTTCAGACAATACAGAGAGTTGAATTAATAGTTTAATTTATTTGTTTCAGACTGGAAGTACAGTTCTGGCTTCATCACTGCAGACATGATTAAAACCCACCTCCCTTCCCCTGGCAGTGAGACGCTCATTCTCATGTGCGGGCCACCACCCATGATTCAGTTTGCATGTCAGCCCAACCTGGACAAACTCGGCTATCCCAAGAGCAATACGTTTTCTTATTAACAGTGATGCCATCCAATACCTTTCCTTGAGTAAGTACTGCATATTTTCCTACAGGAACAACTGGTATGTAACTGGGCAGTATTTCTGCCTGTGTTTTTTAGCTGTATAATTTAATTTCTGTGGTTTTTAACTTCATAATTGTCTTTGACTATTTTAATATTACAAGGCCGAGAAGTGATGTGGAAAGTGATTTAGTCTAAGCTTGCAAGTTAGTTTGAAATGTTACATCACTAGTTCTTAGGGAAAAAAAGTGTAATTGGAGAGGTAGGACAGAGATGAAATGACCTGTCTGTTAACATGGATACGGAATTTGGGAGCGGGTTATGAGACTAGACTAGGATAACATGAATGCTTGGCAGGTAATTCATTTAGTTCAGCCCAGTGAAGGGGAGAACAGAGAACAGTCTTTTTTCAAACTGCTGGTTTGTAGCCATTTACCAGGGTTTAAGCAAAATGGCAGTGTGCCACTGGAAAAGCATTTAAACAGAATTTGGATAACACCTCAATTGTTTATTACTGTAGCAGAAATTCTTGTTAGTCTGACATTTATTCGGGATTATATAACTTCATGCTGACTTCTAATGGCCTTAGCTAAACAATCACTCTAAACTACAAATGAAGCTCTAGGCTGCCTATACAGACACGCATCCAGTGATGATTTTAGTGTTATTCCCTGTAAATGTAGTGCTTGCTCTTTTGGCTGTTTCAGAAATGTTCTTTGCTTAAGAGAAAACGTGGCATCTTCCTTCCTAGCGTACACTACGCTGAGTCAATCTTAAACTCAGCCATGCCTTGTCTGAGTGTTTCTACCATGTAGCATTTAATTTTTAGTCTTCAGGGTCTGAAGTACTGCAGGTTCATTTTCAGGAATTAGTTTATGCTACAATTGCCGTAAGGTCTGAAAAATCCTCGAGACAAAAGACTTGTTTCTTCAGATGCTAATGAATATGTTTACTAAATCTGTCCCTGGTCAACCACAAATATCTCTATAGGAATCATTCCACAGCCAGGAAAAAAATAGAGGAATATACACAATTTATTTATAACAGTCAAGAATTTATGCATTTATGCCTTTGCTATAACTAGGATTTCCTACTATATACAAAAAAAGATTGTGTAGGTTGAATATTCACAGCCAGGATAGCACAATACCACAACGAGTTATAAATACATCCTCAAAAGAATCTGCTTGGAATATCTCAGTGACATTAAGGCTGCTCCTGTCAGAGCAGCTTATCCTAGTTGTAATACTGCAATACTTAAGTTTGGTTAATTAAACTGACAGAGTATTTAGTGTCCCTGTAGTATATGATCTGGTCGTTAGTGTAAACTGCCAGATTAGAGATGTGCTTGACTGGTATGCTTGGTAGCCTTTAGTAAGTATTTTTAGTTGGCTGCTTTCTCACTCCTACTGATTTTCAATTAGCAGTGTATTGTTCAGTGATTGAAACAAACAAACAAAAAAAATCCAGTAGCCTTAATTTTAACATTTTGGACAATTAAATTATTCATTTAGCTTTTAAAATGTGGCAATACAGTGTAGGGTCTGTTAGGAGAGGCTCATGGAGCGAGGGCTAGAGTAGGCTACCTTTAAAAAGTGCAATTGATGGCTTTCAAAGAGCCCATGCTACATACTCTGGACAGTACCTGAGATTTCCCTTTAATTTGGGAAGGTTTATGGCTAGGCCTGCCCTCAGGCTATATTGATACATAAACCAACATCCTGAAGCCAGAAAGGAGCGTAACATAAACCATTCATATACAGAGACTTTTCTTTATAATTTGGTAGATTTCTTTTCTGGCATTTCTCTGTTTACTAAGATATCCTGCTAGTACCTTGTTAATACAGGCACATGCCAACAGATGCCGCAAGTAATTGTTGCTGTAAAAGAGACACTTTGACCCTTGAACTGCCCCTCAAGTAAGTAGTCAGAGGGTGTATTTCCCTCTGTTACAGTGCTGCAGTCCAGCCTAGCTCAGCAGAATAGCAGCAGATTTATTTTGTTAGGTTACAAAGAAAAAAAAGCTTGTTTTATGATGGTACTTGTCTGATGCTCCCTAGTGGCATTTTACACATAACAGGACAATAGTATTGACCTCCTATTGATAAATAAAATACTCTATGAAAATCTATCTGTAGCTGGGATGAAAAGACAACTGAGGGTGAAATAGCAATATTGTTTATAGAAACATCACCAGTTCTCATGCAAATGTTACAGTTTCTGCTACAGGCACCAGGCCTGAGGGCTGTTTGCAGGTACACATGTATGTTTTATTAGCTGTAACACTAGAAAGAAAATACAATGGTAATAAGCCTGTCATTACTGGTCTTAGAAGGCTCTCTCTGAACTGTTTAAACTGCTTAGAAGGCTTATGAGCATCCTGGTGTTTGCACATGTGCCTCAGTACCAACCACTTTAGACAAATGTAAATGTACAGAAAAAGCACCTTCAATAGTTCTACTTAAGGACACATCACTTAAAACAAAACAGGGAATCACGGTGGAAATTCTGTTGTGCTTACAGAGTACAGCAAACATTATCCTGACATTTTAAACTTACATTTTATATTAATTAGTGTTGTGATTGCCCCTTGATCATGAACAACTTAGTGCTTATGTAAAAATCAAAAAGTAAAGAAAAATCAATTTAAACAAAGAGCCAGCTTTTGAATCTACTAGTTCTCTTGGTAGTCTCAATGTTACATAACTTTTCCTGCTGCAGCTGTTCAGTATCTTTGAGTTAGTTTAAGATGTGTGAGCAGGCCATCCAGATTGTCATCCTCCTGATAAAAGCAAGGGCTTGGTGCATAGTAATCTTTTATTTTCCCCTTCTACACTGCACTCAGAGAAAGAGGGCAGGACCTGTACTAATGAAAGGGATGAAAGTATCTCTGGCAAGACTGTAGTAGTACTTAGTGAGCCATCAGAGCTGCACTTACCAGCATCTGTCTGAATTGCTATGTGGCTATGGTCAGTCCATGTGGTAAAATAGAATATTAATGATTCTTGCATTACAAGTTAATTATAAAAATAAAAAAATATAAAAGCTCTTTCCTAGAGCAGTACAGAAACACACATGTAAAAAGATGACAAAATACAAGGGTAAAACATACTGTCTTTCCGGACTCTAGAAAATAAACAGTTCTGTACAACTTCTCTCAATACCTATTTGACATTACGTAATACAGAAACAGTGCAGAGGGAAGTAACCTGTGAAGTGTTGCTATGTTAGCAAAAAAAAAAAAAATGCTATGTGGTGAGTCTCACTGGTGGGAAAGAGGCAAAACTCTGCAGTACCACAGCATCAAGTGTCTCCTGGCCACCCCTCTGGACAGGTATGAGGTATTGGTGTTCTTGGTCACACTGAAACATCATCTCCAGTCTTCAAAGGTAGGTGTTAAAAATCTGCTGTCATTTAGCATTTCATCTTGGCTTAACATTGTCTGAAAAAAAAAAATGCAGCAAGATGTGAACGAGTAAAATATATTCAGTTAAAGGCCTATAGTTAAAGAAATCCAGCTGTAATAAGATCAGATGCCCAACAGAGGGGGTTAGAGCCACATAAAATTAAAAGGAATCTCGAATGCTGCTTTAAATAGTGACACTGTTATTTGATTGAGGAAATGTTCACAAAAATTGTGTGTGACATTATTCTTTATATCCTTCAGTCACTTCTTGATTTTAAAAAATCAGCTGCTATAGAGTCAGGAATATATACAGTGATTTTGTGCCTCCTCCCCCCCCCCAAAGATTTTTAGCTCTTCTAACTCTTCAAATCTTACCTCTTCACAAGATTTTGAGATGAATATCTGTTATTGGCTCAAAGAGATAGCATAATTCATAAGAACTTAAAATTGGCTTAAATGAAACTTAATTTCTAGTATGATTTAAAAGTGTTTTTTTTGTTTTTTTTTTTTTTATTTGGACTGCGTATGTGCAGCGAGGCTATAAAGAGTTGCATCACAAGAGTAGCAACCCACTTACTCTTAACCACCACCAGCAATGACCAACTTGCACTGAATTCTAGCAGAATACATTAGTGACTTTAAAACAAGTAAAATTGGTACATACCGTAAGATTGCTTATGCCTTGAGAAAAAGCCCCTATTTGCTTTACTGTTCCTTCTGAATGTTCCATCTGTAAAAGTATTCAGCAACTGGTTCAAATCAGACAGTATGTGCAATTTTATTCACTCTACCTGCATCTTTGGAAGGTCTCTTTACCTTGACAAATGAAGCTGCAGTATTTTTAAAAGTTCTGATTTCTGCACTTTGGAAAGTTACACATTAACAAAAACATCTCCATGCTAAGAAGTACATGAAAATGCATTAGTTATAGAAGGATTGAATCCTGATGAAGAAAGACTGATTCTGTGAAACTTTAGCTGTAATTCACAAAGAAAAGAAGAAGTTTAACTGGTATTTGCAGTGAAGAGCAATATTTTCCAGAAGAAAAAACACACAAAATAATTCTGGCAATATACCTCCATGGACAGTTATTGCTTCTGCCTATAATACAGCCCTACCTATTCTTACACAAAAAGGTTATCCGTTCTAAGGCATTAAGGTTTCACTGTGTGACCACATACTCAGAAGTCAGGCTTAAGTAGAAGACCACTTCCCTAACGAAAAATCCAGTATTTCTGTAATGCTTGAACAGCCACATGTTGTAAGCTGTTGGCTCAAGATTAATACGTTCTCTTTCAACTCTTAACCACATAACTGGACATCCACACTAAATTACAGTTTGTATATTCAATTCTGTCAGGGTTTTGCTATTGTCCCCAGTAAAGAAGACCACTTTATTTTCACTAACGTGCACACAGAAAAAAGACAATGGTTAGATAATGAACACAAATGAGATGTTAGATGCAGTAAACCATGCAAATGACAGAATGACTTTCATCGTTAGTCTTATCAGTTTTGTGACCATTCTCTCATTAGGATTAAAATGTTTCACTGAAGGTCACTGGAGATAGGACAGTTACCCCAGTTACCTCTGTCTGGATCTTGTGTTGACAAAGTTCACACAAGCCTCTGTTAGCTCCATTTTTCAGGGCTTACATCCTTTTACACAAAAGCAAAGTTGAATAGAGTTCAATTTGTTTTAGTCTTCATCATTTGTATGATGTCTAGACATGGTTTCATTTAGCAGTTCACTACTAAATAACAAAAGTGAATTACTTAAGTATTGGTTTATTAATAATCTTGTTCATTATTGAGGCACTGTTTTCATGGATACCTGTTTAAGCATAACTACTTCCCACTGTACATAATGAAAGAATTCAGTTGGATGCTTTAAGCTGTTAAAAAATATACAACCCAGTTGTACTTTAATATATAACTTGATAGTTCTGTACAAATTAGTCCAAATTTATTACATTAAAAACCACCCATATAAAGATAAAGAAAAAAGTTGTGTTCGGTACTCAGATTATGAAAGCTAGAAGTACAAAAGTCTTGTGTTTACTGCAGCCTCCACTTTAACTGTCAAGATATGTTGACCTTCATAGTGTAAAGGTGTTACATTCCTGAAAAAGGGCTTTAAAATGGATGAGTTTATCATTATGTTGATTAAAAAAACAACAACAAACCTTAACATTCTTAGTATAAACTCTTTCAAGTGTCCATAGTCAATACTTTCTCAATGAGTTCATGCGGATGTAGCAAATACTGTTATATGCTAACATTTCATTATTTGCAAGCTTTGGAATGCAAGGAGAGGGTGAGATGAGAATGGCATCAGTCTGTTTGTCCCACCTGATCCAGCTCCCTATCAGTGAATGGACTAAGTCCTTTGTATCCACCATAGTTCTTCTGAGTACCATTTGTAGCACCTGGATTTGTATCCATAGGACAAATGTAATCTGTTGATTCATCAAATTTCTTTTTTCTTAAGTTTCCAAAATGTGAAAATCCAAGTTTCTTTGGCTAAAAGAAAAAGAAAACAAGTTTTAAATTAGAAGAATATTTAAAGGACAACCTTATTTAAAATCCTTTCCTTTTTATTTACTAATGTGCCTTAGTCCTTCAAGTATGTAAAACTCTAAACTAAATAAATTTGTTTCCAAATTGGGAGTTACCAGTTCATTTTAAATACAGTTAGATAAAGTTCCTTCTAAGAAAAGACAGGATTGCATGCTGATTTCAAAAATTGATTTAAACAGTTAGCAAAAAGTGAAATGCCTCGATATCTAGAGCTAAGGAGAACGTAACACCACTTCTAGAACTGACCTCTCCCCACCCATATATGCCCCTTATTTTCTTTATAAGAAAAATATAAAGCAGTATGTACGTACCCGAACCTTGGCAGTGGTGGTCAGAGGTGTGTATGCTGTTGACTCTGTTATATCTCTTTTTTCTTGCTGTGCCTCTGGTCCAATTAATATATTAAAATTGGTTGTTAGGTGGCGTCGCAGTAGGGTCTTTTGAGGTGGAATATTCAGCAGCATTGCCAGTGTGTCACCATTGAAGCGAGGTTCGAGAATCTATTAAAAAGATAGCAAATATTTAACCATATAAAATCAATAGTAAACCATTACAGTGCTTATCAGAGGGATTTCTTCATTCTAGCTATCTACATTAGACATTTTATAGCTCTATAGTGATACGAGATTTGCTAGGTTTGAATAGGAAATACATGAAAATAGGCAGTAAAATACAGAGTATGATCAGACAAACACCTAATTATATTTATTACCAATCTTTACAGTTGCTTGGATTGAACAGAATAGTTTTGGATATTTTCTGCTATACTTTTACTATGGTATTACTCTGAAAATATGAACTTAATCTTAGCACAATTTTTTTCTATTTCATTTTTGCAAAAATTCTATGGTACTAGAATAACAGTTTTCAGAACTCTTGTCTTTGCTAAGCTACAACTAGTTCATGTTTTGAATCAAGAAAAAATCCCATTCCTGATTGCAGGCAACACTAATGTGAGTTCAGAACAATTACTTCCTGTATCACGGTGTTGGCTCAGAATTCTATTAAAACCTCCCCAAGAAACACTCAAGGATTCTTAAACAAGTAATTTTCTCACAGAATAGGTTTCGTTTTGTTTTGTTTTTGTATTGTACTACTGTTAAATGCATGCACAGCTTTGATTATAAAAAAAAAAAGTTTTAGTTCCTTTTTTATTTTACTTTTCCTTTGTATAATTAAGGTGTATGGATCAGATGCAGAGGCTTTTTTAGAAGTCCTGATCAATTTGCAAACGTATGTTTCTTCCTGCTTGACAAACACTAGATACCAGATACAAGATGTTTTGCATCAGTCTGTCAATTCTTAGTAGATATGTAGTAATATGTTAAAAAGAATTCTTACAATGAGGCCACCGTGCACTCCACTTCCTCGAAGGTTTGGTGCGTATTCTGCCAGATCAACTGATCTGAGCCATTCCATCACTCTGTGATTGGACCACTGCACTACTTCAGAAGGTGAAACGTTATTCTGTTAAGGTAACCAGAAAAGATGGATGATGACAACATTGCCTGCTCTGTCACCACATGCTCACAAAACATATCTTTAGTTTAGATTGAAAACATCATTCCTCCTTTTCAACAAAGGAGAGTATTCCCCAATTCTTAGATACTGATTCTGTTCAGATGAAACCCATCTATTGCATCAAGTTCTAAAATAAAAGAGACAACAGATGCTGGGTGAAAAAAAAAAAAAAAGATCATTTTGAGAACAGCATTATTGTCAAGGCTTTGATACTATGACTAGGAATAAGCTATGTTGATCAGGTAAGGCAAGAATCCATACAGTCTTAAAGTTAAGTTAGGACGACAACAAAAGAAGTATTCCAAATTGTTCTTTCAAAAGTTGAATTAATTTAAAATTAATTAATGATGAATTAACTTTTAACTTAAAACTAAGCAAATGATTTCTAAACGAAGATGCATGAGATTCAACTAATAAATGCTTCAAGCACTTAAGGACTTTAAAGGTTCTTATTATTAGTGAGTACATGGTATATTCCAGAGCAGGAATGCATGCAACTACTGCTTTAGAGGCAATTCTCTAGTAGTTGGGACTGAGGTGCTATTATTCATGGGGTATAATAATGGGGTAATAAGTGCTTGTTTAAATTAAATTACTTAAACATTCTTTTACCTCCTCAACTGGTCTTCTGCGTAGACAGTGGGGGTTAAAACTGTTGACATGCAGCACATGAATGGCACATTTAATACTCAGATGATGCAGCTGACTGGTGACTTTCAGAAAGAGAAGATCATTCTGTAAAAGAGAGAGCCTTCTAAGTGGCACAGAATACACACTAAGATAGGTACTTTCCCCAACAAGTAAGATATCAAGCTTGATATATTTTAATATTGTACCATAATGAGATGGCTAAAAACTGAAGTTTATAGCTTATTTGGTAAAATCAAGGCTAGGGGATAGTTTTAAAATACCTGATTGTTTTTGATCTGGCTAAGATCCTGGTGTGGTAGGATTGCTGAAGCCAGCAGCACACATCTAGCATGGAACAGTACGGATCATACTTCTATAGCAAAGGCTCCTCAAGCAGCATGACAATGTTGTATTTTTGGTAACAGCTAAATGTAGGTGTTTTTTCATAGAACACCAAAACAAATATTTCACTATCCAAACCTGGGCAAGGAAGCTGTAAAAATAAACACACTGGCTATGTGTTTACTGCTGATTTGGTGAGAGCTGCAGAAGTCACTGGATTTGCTGCTTATCTTTAATTTATATAACATTGTTGCTAACTTGGTGAGGAGAACAAAACACTCCAGAAGCTGTATGTAAAACGGGTCATTTTACCTTCATTTTTGATGTGTTTTATGATACTGGAAGAGAAACTTGTAGAATTCAGCTGCAAAAGCCTACATTACTTATTTTATATACCTTGGGAACAGTGATCATGCACTAAACAACACCAAGGAGTTATTACTAGCACTATTTCTGGCTTGCAGAAGTCTTTAACTGCTCACATTCTAAGAAAAAGTCTGTAATGGTTTGCTCATTCTAAAGTTCAGAGTTAAGTTAAACTGAGGCAAAAGGATTTTAGCTTACCACAGTTAAATACTGCAACATTCTCCCATCAACTCTGGACTCGTGAAACTGGTCTTTGTACTGAGGTAAACCAATGTCATCAAGCCAGCCTGCAGATACAAGAACAGTGGTGTACCCAAATGTGGGTCAGTAAGGAATGAAGCCCTTCTAATCTGGGCAGGTTTCTTCTGAGGCATTCAGTTAGCTCATTCTGCTTACTCACCTCTCTAAAGGACAGCCTCATAGCAGAAGCCTAAAAGCAATTCATCCAGCTTTTCCTATAATACCCCTGCAATACTTTAAATACAAACCTTCTGTACTGTAAAACTTAGCTTTTGCTAGACTGAGACATACCACCCATAGTGTACATTCGTTGTCCTTCAAGATGGATGGGCCTGCAATACGTTTGTTTAAGCAGGTATCAGACATTTTTTAAGAGCACTAAGTTTCAACAGGGCAAAATTTTTCATAGAATGGGAGTTTTTGTATTGTTCTTGATGTCCAAATATGGTTGCATGGAATGAAGTTCCCATTGGAACTCTACCTTTCAGATTGCAGAGTACTGAACTACTTTATGAAACATGGGCACCATGAAAGGCATCAGACTATTAAATGCTATGTGCTTTATAAAGTATTCCACCCAGCGCTGACTTCTAGTTGAGATTATGTGGAGTATGCAGATAAAGAAGGAAACCCCATAGTCATCTATTTGTAGAACTACTCTTTTTTCTTTTTTCATTCCTGCTCAGCTGCGTAAGAAAAAAAAATATTTTACAAACACTTCCACAATTCTTCAAACACTTACGTGTCACCCAGATATGATCGAGTTGTGCAGATTTCTCATCTTGTTTTGCATTTATTGATTTAATGGCCAAAACTAATTTCTTCCTGTGCAGTGGATGCTTTATTCCCATTTCCTGTAACAATAACCATTAAAAAAGTAGTTTGCTCTTTTCATCTCGTTAAACAGCTACTGAAACATTTCAAAAAGGTAGAATTGCCAATTGTCTGAAGGGATCTGGTTGTACTGAATCAAGATTTATGGTTGCTTGAGAAAAACAGTTACAGATATTACCTTTTCCATGTCCTGAGGTGTTGCAGTTAACAGCGTATGGCCTGAAGTCACCCACTGCCGTGCAAAAATGACGTACTGCCCTAGACCAAAGTCCTCAAGCCAGTTACAAACTCTCTCAGTGCTCCACTGAGCAAATGGAGCATTGTAGTCACTGAAAAGTAAAATAACTCTTTGAAACTCTTACAGGAAAGAATACGGTTCTTATCAGAAAGATCATTACATACCAGAGGAAATACTATAGCCTAGGTCCTAGTATTCTTTATCCTGTGAAATAATAAAGCCCAACAGCCATTCTCTCAGTATATGCTGTGGTAGTAGTGTCACAGAATCACAGAATTTCTAGGTTGGAAGAGACCTCAAGATCATCGAGTCCAACCTCTGACCTAACGCTAACAGTCCCCACTAAACCATATCCCTAAGCTCTACATCTAAACGTCTTTTAAAGACCTCCAGGGATGGTGACTCCACCACTTCCCTGGGCAGCCTGTTCCAATGTCTAACAACCCTTTCAGGTTGTCCTCCTAATCTGACTGCCTAGCTTCCTCTTGTGAACAGTTGGAGCAGGGTAGGGTGATAAGGATTAAAGTTTCCCACTTGAAAATAAAGAAAAGGGTAATTAATTGCTGAATTCTCAGCACTGCAAATATTCCCACATGAGATGATAATAAGTTTCCTTGTTCTTTAATAAAGGTGAAATTTTGGTGCTGCTACCTGCAGCTGAAGGAGTGCAGATAGGCAAGCTAATCAGGATACATTTTCTACCAGGGAAATTCTTTCCAGTTGGGGAATTCCATGTGTAACAAAGTATATTGGACAATGTATTGCACAAGAGAAGTGTTTTGCTGTTCAGTGTATTTAACAGCATCTTTTAATACACTGTGCAAAGAAAAGAAGAAATCATTACCTTTTCTGGCCTTTGGTTTCCTTTGATCTGGATAACCGAGGCCCAGCTGTTGCACGGAGACCGCCTCTTCGGAACTCTGCCAAACCCAGATCGTCTGCAGGGAAGTTACCAGACTGAGTTCTTCGTATTCTTTCAAAAAAAGAGCGCCAAGACAGTACTATTAGCGTCCAACAGAGAACATTTGTTTCATATGGAAACTATAATGACAACTAGAAGCTGTATCAATCTTCCTGTAAACCACAAACATATGATTCAAGCAGCAGCCAAAGAAGTTCCAAGCAAACGCTGTCTAGACCAAACTCTGAGTAAAGAAAAAAGCTCTGCAAAACAGCCATGACCTTTCAACACAAGTAATAATCTACACTGGAGGTCAGGCTTCTAAACATCTGCTGTCCTGAAGCAGATAAAATGAACGCAGTAAAACTCAGTCCCCCTGCTTTTTGTTTCTTCTGTTTTCTTAGACTTTTTTTTTTTTTTTTTTTATAACTGAAGGCTCCTGTAATGAACAACTGACTATCATTTAATTTTTTCGTAGCTACTGAAACTGTTGGTACTCTAAATCTTTAGCATTATAACAACACAGCAGAATACGTTATTTCTTCCAATAACGTGATGCTTTGTATATTACCATGCATTTTCCTCCACCCATGTGCACATAGAGACACACCTGTACAATCACAGAACAGAGCTCCTTTTCCTCCTTTTCCTGAACTTTATTTTATTCTTGCTGTAGGTACCGTATTTTTTACTGAGAACCGAATTAATTCTGTTGAAATACTTTGATAAGAAACTAAAAAAAAAAATTATCTTACTTTCCCCAGATTTTCTTGATCCCTTTTGGACTCTTTCTATTTTCTGGAGACAGTGGAGACTGTGGACCTGAATCCGTTCCAGAAGAAAGAGGTGAAAGGTCATCTGAGACTACTGTACCATCCACGTTCTCTGTTTCTCCTGGGTTAAGAACAATAATAGTCACATTTTTTACTAACTGTTGACAAAGTGGTTATCTGGGAGACTAATACTTTAAAAAAAGAAAAAAGGTAATAAATAAGTAAAGATAAAATAAAATGTTCCTGTATAAGAAAGTATTGCTCAGAAGGGGAAAAAAATATTAGCTGTACATTACATACCAAAAAAAAAAAGAAAAAAAAAAAGAGTAAAACAGTATTGTTGTTTCAATTTATTTAAAAACATTATTTTAATTAATTCAGAATCTTCACTTGGGTCTGCTCTTGCCTTTCTACTGTTAATACCAAAACTCTTCCATTAAAATCGGTGGGAATTTTTCTGTTTTCACTCAAGTAAGATCATGAACAAGTATTAAAAAAAAATAAAAAATAAATCCCATATGAATGCCATAGAGGGAAAGCTCTTATTTCATTTCAGCACTGCACTTAAGAAATTCAGTGTGGATTGCCCCCTTGGTATTAGTATTTTATAGAGGAGAGAAAGGGAGGGAAAAAGGAAAGGAAAAAATAAGTAGCAAAATTCATGTTAAAGTTGCATCTTGTTTGGATACAATACCTAGCACTGGTGCACTGACACTCCTGATGCGATCTTCAGTCATCCCAAGAAGCAGAAAGCCAGATGAAGAAGCAAAGAAGATATAAAACACCAGCAAAATAAAGTTATGGAAGAGCAAAGAAGTAAGCTAAGCATTAAAAGCAGAAACAAAAAGAAAAGAAGCAGTTATGCTTGACATGAAAGCGAATGTGCATTGGTTTGCACAAGCCCCAGGAATCCTGCACAGGTCATCTTAAGTAGATTCGAATGATCATTTCTCTCTCTCTCTCAAAACATATTTAAACATATGCTACAGAGCTCCATAAAGCCTGCAGCACTTCAGAAATGAAGCGGTGTCTAAAGTTATATCAGGTTCTTCTGAAATACAGAACTGGAGGTGTACTGAGTTCACTGCACATGCAAGATACAAACTAACCTCCAGTAATTCAGTGTTCTTACAAATTCACTGTTTGTTTCTAGAAAAAAAAATATTTTCCTTTACAAGATCACACCTCTTTGGATAATCCTGCAGTTAAAACATAAATTGCATGGCTTGCGGACTGCCTACACCTATACAGACTATTAATGAAACTCCAGCATTGCTATTACAGAAAAACTCTTTAAAAAGAAAATAAATAAATAGAAATGCAACCCTTAAACAACCAACAACCTATTGTAACATTTAAGCTACAGTACACTAGCAGCTCTTAAGACTATGAAGTCTTATAAAGAAAAAACATACAAACAAACCACACACGTACAAAAATCCGATCCAATAACAATAAAAAAAAATCCAAAATCCTTAACTTTTTTTCGAAAATGTGTACATTACTGCTGGTTATATTGTAAAGTGTCACACAATAAAATACAGTGGGATGGGAAAGGAAAAGGTTTTTTTGTTTGATTAATACACAATTTAGTGTACGTTCCTTTAAAAAGATTTTGTCTATTCTTGATGTACTTGGCTGTGCATTTTTGTTTGTTGTTTTATAAGAAAACATCAGCAAACTCACGTGATCAATGGAAGACAGTCTGAAAAAAATACACTTATTCATACTATCAATATGTTTGGATCTCCAGAAATTCTAATTTCCAGTAACAGATTTGTTGGCTAAGAAAGCTGTCACCAACCGTGTTACGACCTCATTACATATGCTATCACTGACGTCAGCAAATTAAATGTCATCCAGTGCAACAAAAAGAATGTTCCAACTAAAGTCACCCTTCACTCCCCAGTGAGCCCATCTAGAATATTTTTGATATATTGTTAAAAACAGAACTTTCCCTCAGTGAGCCACCCGAACATCGTACGTTATTGTAACACAGAAGGTTATAGAACATGGTATTTCCCCATTTTTAGTTTTCTTGTTTGCCTCTTACATAACCCCCCCGCCACCTCTCAGAGAGGCAGGGACACTTACTCAGGCCCAGGATGCTGTTGTCCTCACTGTCGTTCATGCCACATGAGTCTGGTGAATTTGATGTGTTATATGTTCCCTGTTCTCCATTCTGTAAGGGTCGAGGCAGTTTTCCTGGCAAAGTTTGGTATTTGCTGCCTTTCACAATGTGGCTTACTCTGCATTTTTTTAGAGGATAGAGAAAAAGGCAAATCACTCATTGCATTTACAATCTAGTACACAATAGTCATTTATAAATTTAGAAAAAGTATTTTGAAGTTTGACATGTTCCTTTTTACAGACATTTCAATTTAAATCTAGTATTTAATATACCAATTTAAATCTAATAATCAGCTGCCATGATTTTCTAGCTAAGACCCAACCTTCTCTTCCCTCATCTTCTCCTTCCCTTTCAGCTATACCATGTATTATATTAAACTATAATATATATATATATATATATATATATTGAATATTACCTGGTTTGTCATGATTTTTTTGGCACCATATATAATAATTTTTGCCTTTCAAGGCCCACTTTTGACAGTGCCAGAAATAAATTTAGTCATTTCTTAGCCCATTCTCTGCCCTGCCAAATTTTTCCTTCATATTTCATCAAAGTGTCTATGTTTTTGCCTTACAGTTGTATCTCGATGGAATTTAAGCCAAAAGTATTCGTGTAACTCAAATTTGGCCAGTCATATTTGTCCACCTCCATTAATCACTTTCAAATAATCAAAAATGAGGATAGGCTACAGAAATGTAACTTCTGTAAGAATCAAGACCTCTCTGGATAACTAACGTTACAATTGCTAAGTTGAAAAAAAAAAGTTGAACGCAAACTGCAAAGCATATAGTAAATACCAATTGTATTGTACCTAACCACAATGTATAACTTGGATGTATGCTGGTTAAAAAGCATGGACTGACCTGTATTTTAAAGCTGACATATTCTATACAATTTCTGTCCACATCAGACTAAAATAGCCATACTTTAGGTCCGCAGCCTTACTTTTGCCTACACCTATGGTACACGTACACAGTACCAGTGGCATCAGAAAGATTACTTACACTGGGAGGACCTTCCTCAAGCAACAGAGGTCACAAGAGGTGGTCCTCAAAGCCAGCATGCAGTATCTTGTATTGAAAGGGTACTGCTATGTAGGCTATGCTTAAAATAGAGTCCCTTCATCTTCCATGCATTCAATTTTACAGTAACCGACTAATTTGGAATCCTGCCCCTTGTGCAAAGGTAGTTTAGAACTTGCATTCAGATCTGACAGTTTTGGGCCTAACAAGATTTTCTGCAGCCAAAGTATGTATTGCACAGATGCCCTTGGCTACAGTTTTGGAAAGTTCGCGCTGAGACTTCATCAATACTGACTCCAGAGGAAAAGATGAAGGAGCCATGACTGGACAAAATATATATATATATGTATCACAACTGTCAAAATTACAAGAATGGAGAGGCTTTTCTGGAAAAGCAATGAACCTGTAACTGCAATTGACTTGTGGAGTGGTGTACATTCAACATGTATTTTGAAATAAGCTCATACTGACAGATGACAGAATCAGAAAGGAGGTAAGGTAGGAAAACAATGTGCTGAAAATACGCAAAATGTATTTAGTGCACAGAAACATACAGGATTCTCCTAATTAGTAACCCCATTTAAACAAAATTGTTTTGAAATACTTAGATAAAACTTTGTCTGTGACAGAATGATACATGAAATATTTAAGTAGGTAACCACTGGTTTATTCAATTTTTATTTCAAGGCCAAGAGGGATCTTTGTGATTCTATAATCATGGACCAGATTCCTGAATTTTGGGCACTGTGCGTCCCATCCCTGCTCCTGTTTTGGCAGTTACAGTGTGCCCCCACTAGCACCTAACATTACATGAGTGGAGAAACCATTTATTACTTTAATCAAATATTAGCACTGTGTTTTCTGAAACTGACATTACACACCCAAACAGCTTGTTGATAAAGAAAACACACACACACACACACACACACACACAAATCCTTACCCCTACCCTTGTTCCCAAAGTTTGTCAAGTACATGAACTTTGCAAACATTTTGAAAGGGAAGATGAATACAAAATGAAAACAGCCATACCATCACAGCACATCACAGCAGATAAATGTTAGAAGAGTTTACAGTTAATATACCTCTTGTTCTACAACAGGCTGTACTGGTTTTCCTTCTACATACTACGGAGTTGCAGGGAGAATAATTTCAAAGTTTTATGGAAAAAAGCAACAGACAAATGTTAGTATTAACGTACATACATCAATTATAGTGTGATTACTATAGTGACGCTACTTAATGCATTGACAACATATTACAAGGTCTGTTATCTCTTCATTTTATAAAGTATTTAACCTTTAAATGTGTTTGTTCAAACCAGTTTACTAGTTTTGTGCCCAGTTTAGGTTCTGTTTTGATCAAAGAGATTTTGCTATTTTTAGGCTTCTGGTTGGTCCCATGGCAGCCACATAACACTTAAAACGGTATGAAAAAGTCTGATGTTAAAAGAGAATTTATGCAGTACTGTATGGATCCATCTGAAACCACGAAGAAGAGCCGTGAAAAATATCAGCATGGCTAGGTCAGAAACACCAGTATGTTTTATTTCATTTTTATTGTTGCTGGACGCAATTGGAATTTGAGTTTTGTGCAAACAACGCCAGCAGCACAGGTTCTGCTGGACTCAGTGACAGGAGCAAAGTCTTGTGCTGTGTCAGCAAAACAAGTTTTCTGGGGCTTTGTTTTGGTTAAGTTGTGACTACTTGTTGTTTAAATATAGGGAGGTCTGGTCTCATTTATTTCACTAAAAAGCCTCATGCCTAAATTAGGGCATACAATTTAAATTCCTTGCTGAACTAGGGTCTCACTGACTAAAGTTCTGTCACATCCTTCATTTTTTCTATATGGACTCTGATTTGATAGATACAGCAGATTTGCAGCCTAAATGTGTAGGTGGAGCCTTATCATATCATAGAGACAAATAGATTATTTTTTTTTTTAAGATTAAGACAAGAAAATAATTTAAAAGTTATGAAAAGAAAACAGACCTTCATAAATTACACACAGAATGAAATGTTAGCTGTCAAATGATCTGTCATGTGTGTGACCACAATCAAATGAGTGCAACATAAATTTCAAACATTTTATTTGGTCATGTAATCTAGTATTAAGCCTAGTTTTGGCATAGAAAATGTCAGTAATAGTCCTGTAAGTTACAAGTACACATGCAGAAAAAAACTTCAGCGTACATAATGACAAATAAAACCTCTGGACCATAGCATAATGAGACTTGGTAAATTGGAAAGTCTTTATTCTGGAATGGAATGAAGCCTTGGAATTAACAACAGTGCTCCTGCTGTTTAACTAAGGCAGCATCACTACCATCTTCAAGAATGCCATTTATATCAGAAGTCAAAGTTAGGGAGTGGCATTCATATGTACGTGCAAACACTCAAAGGAATCCTATGTGAAAATGCATGCCCAGTCCCAATGCTTCTTTTTAATACTTCCAGGTATGTTGTCTTAATATTTTAGCAGATTGGAAATCAAAAACATTTTTAAAACAGTAATCTATAAACAAAATCATACTGCAGTTCAACAAAATGACTTCTCATTATTTGCTGTACTTCTGTCCTGGTTTCAGTTAGAACAGAGTTAATTTTCTTCCTAATAGCTAGTAGAATGCTATGTTTTGGCTTAGGATGAGAACAGTGCTGATAACACCCCAATGTTTTAATTGTTGCAGAGCAGTGCTTATACTAAGCCAAGGACATCTCAGCTTCTTGCTCTGTCCTGCCAACGGGCAGACTGGGGGTGCAGCAAGAGCTGGGAGGGGACAGACCCAGGACAGGTGACCCAAACTAGCCAAAGGGGTATTCCATACCATCTGACGTCATGCTAAACAATATATAGGGGTGGCTAGCCGGGGGAGGGGGCCGGACTGCTCGGGGTTAGGCTGGGCATCAGTCAGCAGGTGGTGAGCAATTGCATTGTGCATCACTTGTTTGTACATATTATTAGTAGAACTATTATCATCATTGTATTATTATTATTGTTATTATTATTTTCCTATCTTATTAAACTGTCTTTATCTCAGCTCACGGGCTTCACTTTCCATTTCTCTTCCCCGTCCCAGAGAGGGAGGGGGGAGAGTGAGCGAACGGCTGTGTGGTGTTTAGCTGCCGGCCGGGTTAAACCATGACAACTTCTCTTAAATATTTTTTTTCTCTTAGTTGAAAAGCTGAATTTGAGGATGTGTCAAATCATTTGTTTACTCTAAGATTAGCACTGGGGCCAAAAGATGAATTATTTGATGAACTATTATATCACTAGGGCCTTTTTTTTTTCCCCACATACGACATCGGTGGTGGTTAGGTTTACTATATCTGAAGCAAACAATATTTATATTTGACCTTTATCTTTTATTCTAGAGATTTAACGCCAGAAATTTTGAGTACAAATAAACTAACCTTTTCCAGGGATTCACTCTGCAAGTCTTCTAAACTACTTGATTTTTTTTTCTGTGGGACCCTTAAAATAATAACAGGCAAAAAAGGCAATTGTAAATGCAACATAATATGCTTGTGTATGTCACAACGGTATCATGTGACAGCTATCATATATCACGTAATATCTTCAAATAACAGATAATTCAGAACTAGGAGATTGTTTTGTTTTGAGCTTAAAATTCATAGTCCTGGGTTTAAAACATAGTACTGATGTAGATGAAGTCAGAAACAGGAACATGGCCATGCTTATCAACAACAAAAGGCAATAAGGTCCAATATCCAGTTTTAAACCTTATATATATAAATGACTTTTTAAGATACCCTTAACAAGCAAAAGTAGACTTTAATAACTCTCTGCAAACACTGTGCAATATTAAGGGCTTTTTAAAAGATTTTAAAAATGGAAGGAGAAAACAGAATTATCAAAAAACATCTGTCTAGATGTTGTATATTTCAGTTAGTGTTACCAATTCTTACCTATTTAGGATTTCCAAAGTTTCTTCTTGTGAAGGGGTTAGATTAGTTGAAGATACTGGAATGGTTCCACTTCAAATCAGAATAAAATATATTAAGTACTATAATACATATATCTTCTGATATATAAAATGACTAATTCATTTGTGTAGTCCAAACCTCATACAACTAAGCATTAAAAATTTACATTTGTAATTTACAAAATTACACTTCTTTCACAGCTTTGCAAGAACTTTTGGGTAGTTAAGAACAGGCAAGACTAGATATCAACACTTAAATTAAATAACATAGACTTAGGACAATCCCAATAAAAAGTGAGAAACACAAGTCTTGCCTGATTTCTGTAGCTTTGTGTGGCACTGGAGATAACGTAGCTGGTGGCAATTCTCCTGAAGAGGCCTATGTAAAATAGAAGTTTTAAGCCTGTAACTCTAGTGTCTGAATCTGAAGTGCCCGTAGCAATAGGCACAAAAATTCAGCCAGGGTAAAACCCTTGTCTACATTATCTTTGCTACTACAGAGAAACCAAGACAAACAATTCATATTTACATCAGAACGTGCTTCTAAAACATCTTTACTACATACCTCTGATTTAAATAGATCTCCTTGAGGATTGTTCAAAATATTCCATTTCCTTAAAGTTGCCTCAAGTTCCTCTTCATTGCCACCAGATAGAATTCTGTCTGAAGAGCCTGCAAGCATTAAAGATTAGAAATAGAAAGGGAGAGAAACAAGTCAAAAAAAATATAACATTTAGGACCATATTCAGACAATCTAAATACTTCAGTCTCTACATTCCACTTCAGTCTTCATCTGACGCATCTAGTTTGGCAGCCTTTCCCACTCCCCAGCCCTTCTTAGTGCTCTGATTTACAAGTGAGCTGATATATATTTGACAACAAATATAGTCATCTTCTGTTCTCTGTTCTCAGTAGCTGAGCTGCTTATGAGACAGCTTCTGAACTACTTTAATTCACAATTTGATGTTGTAAGGGAAATTCAAGTTGGTACCATTTTCCTTCTCACAGTTTATCACTTTATAGGATACATGTTAGACATTGAAGATATCATAATGCAGTGCCCCATGCTCACTTTGAGGATGAACATGTAAACATACTTCATGGTTTTCTGGATATCCCAAACTGAAATAAATACTGAAATATTCCAAATTCACTATTGAAGAAGATTTTTATTGTTGAATTGTCAAAGCTGAAATACTAAATTAAAGTCCGAATATTTAGTGCTCAGCAAACTTCCAGAGTATTTTGGATGAGAAATCTTCTGGAGATCTCTCATGCACAGGATTACATACAGGATATGGAAGAACAGATATGCCATGACAGAGAAATTTAGACTGACATTTAAGTACTTTGATAAATCCCAATTTAAGTGATGGAGGTGCAATAGCTCTAGGCAGTTACGTAAAAGCATCAAATCTTATGTTTTAGCCTTCTCACTGTTGAGAAGAGAGACCTTTTAAAAAGTCATTTGACATGAGCTCGGTTATCATGCTGTTGAGCTAAAAACACTGTCAAAAAACTTGATACTGACCACTGGTCCTTCAGGATATGAAGTGAAACTTAGTGCTGATAACATCACAAACTATGGTTCCTGGTAGGCAGCCCCTCAGCACAAATTACTAAAACCATAAGAGCTACCTGTAGTGGCTCATGATAGTTCCTCTACATTTTATTCAGATATCAATAACTGTTTCAAGCTGATGTACTACTTTAATCCAAAACACATATTTTTTTTTAGTGTACATGTTACCTATCATGACAAGTTAGTCCTCTATTGTTAATGTAACTTACTGGTCCCCTTTAGCAGAAAAAAGTGACACTTACAATGTAATGTGTTTCAGTCATGTAATTATTTCATAACAGTTATATGAGACTGAAGATTTCAACCCATTGACCCTAATAAAACAACTTTTAAGCAGGGATTACACTTCAAAGGGAACCTTTAAAACATGCCTCTAGAAATAATACATATATATATATATATATATATTTTAAGGAGAAATATTTATTGGTAATCTAACCATGAAATTCTCACAAAAACACAGACAAGGTAACAAGCTCATTGGGGCTATGAAGAAAATGGAGGCATCACAGCATGTGTCTCTTTTATGGAGGATCTAAGTATACACTCCAGTTCTCACACAGGTTTGGGGTTTTTGTTTTAATATGCTGAGCATCACTAGTATTTTAGTTAATACTGTACGGAATGTCTGCACTAGCATACACTAAATCCATCATACTCTCAGCAGTACCAACTCAATAATCCAGACCATCATGGCTTGCACCTTGCTTATACACAAAAGCCTCCTCCAAAAGCATATCCCAACAAGGGGATGGTGCACCCTAATCTTTACAGCCAGCATGTGGTTTATACATATAATAGTCTGTGCACCAAAGCAACCGTGGATTTCTAGTCATTCTCTCCAAACCAGAACCTGCCTAGTCAGCTGTGAGGATTTTTCTTAGGGGAGGGAAAAGGGCAACAGAACTTACTATATTCATTGCATTTCTTTCAGCAATATGTCAGAGACAAAGAAGAAAAAAGGTCCTCCTAACAGTAAGAGATCAGATTCCCTGTGATAAATGCAGTATAAAAAGCATGACGAAGGAAAACACTGCTTCCTTTAACTCTAGGTGGCTGGCTGGTGCTGATCATTACTGCCATTCCTGAATTGAACTGTGGTGTATGAAATCTGAATGTACGATCTAATTAATTATTTAAGGTTCACCATTCGCTAAGGTCTCCTGGTTTCACTTTACACTGTAAAAACTTGTCATAGAAAATACCACACAAAATTAATACCTATCTGTATGCTTTAATTCATCTGCAGGAGGTGATTAATTAAACTGTCATTTTAATTTTGCATAACAGATTCTAGAAAGGGATTCAGTGCAATTTAATAAAACTGCTGGAAACTTGTGCGTTTAACTAATTTGAATGAACTTTCTTAATTGTCCCTCCATCTACAGATTATGTCTCAGAATGAGCAGCATCCTGCTGTTTGCTCAGCCCTTTTCACCCTTTCTGCTCTAATTACTTTTCATCAGATCTCTACAATCCATGTGCAACTGAGGGAATGACAACCAGCAGCAGGGAAAAATGAAGTATGGAGCTTTGGCCATGAAGGACTTAAGGCATGGGCCTACACTAGGGAAGAGACTTACAGGAGTCCCATCAGCGAGGAGTGACAGCGCTGCATGAAGGTTCTAATAACACCATGGCACCAGCTGTCCACCCAGCCATCACTGCATGGATGTAGGAGTTCTGCAACCAAAGTTCCTATCCTACTGCAACATATAGTAAAGCATTTTAAAGAAAGCAGTGCTGGCTTTGGATTGCCTTGGCACATAATGAGGTAGAACTGCAGGACTTCAGACCTGACTGATGAGCAGTTCACATAGCTGTACAACTAGAGCAGTGATCTCATCAGCCATCCTTACCAATCAAAATCTTTAATGGCACCATACATAGCAGAATATAGCACCAAAATTAGGCTCTACAGAGGAATTTACTATTAACTGACGTAGAAAGCATTTTAAGCATTTTAGGGTAAAATTTAGGGAGCTGAACATGAGATTCAGTCACAGAAATCTCTCTGAATACTAATGTTGTAACTAAATCCTCAGACTTTTTTTTTTTTTTTACTGACTATAACATAAGAACCAAAAACAAAATTTCCACCAGCTACAGTCAAAAACACACAGGCCTACAAGCCTGCTCAAGGAATACTGTGGTTCTTTCTACTCTTTCAGCACCCCAGCATGATACAAATGTATATATAATGAACTATATAGTATTATACACGTAAATTCAACAGCCAACAAATAGTAGTTGTACTGCATGAAGTTTTTAAATGATCTGATACTAGGAAATTATTCACAAGACATTTTACCATGAGCTGCAATCATTATTTCCTTGACCCTTCTGTACTGGCTTAGCAATAGTGTTAACTCCTCTATTCGGCGGTCCTGTGAAAAGCAGAAAATGAAATCATATTAAAAATCCTGAATTTTTGTACTACACTATTATGACACATTCATTTTTATGATTCTGGCCTGGAAACAGAAAGATGGACTGGGATTTTCTCAATAACTCCAGCTTTCTTGGCCTTTCTTCACAGGAGAAGAGCTCCAGCCCTCAGAATATCCTCGTGGCCCTCCTGTGGACTTGCTCCAACAGCTCCACGTCTTTCTTGAGCTGCGAGCCACAGAGCTGAATATAGGACTCCGGGTGGGGTCTCACAAAAGCAGAATATTTTATTTTGTGAGACTATTGAAGGTAATGGCTCTATATTGAACATTTATTAACCTGTGAGTCAACTGACCACTAGTTTCCAAGGAAATGACCCTCCTTTCCCTGTCAGTATACCCAGATTTTAGGACATAATCAACAGTATTTTGTTCCCTTCAAATTCAAAAAACTTATGGAGCCTTGGAACAATTTTGGAAAGAGATGTTGCTACATCTTTTATTTTCCAGATGTAAATTTTACCTTTTAGAGTGTGTAAAAACTAGAGATCGTTATGAGTTTCATTAATTTTCCCTAGAATTAACATTGCTCTGTCCAGATCCCCCACTTACTGAAGGAAGTTTTTAGTAATGCATATTACTGGGTAAGTGATCATATGTAAATATGTCACCAAAAAAGAAAATCTTGTTGCCTGTTTATTATCATAAGACAAGAACTACAATTTCCTCAAGAACTAATCATGAATAAAACTTCTAAACATAAGGAACACTTTATGTAATAAGTCAATGACATCTGAAGGCTTTGCACTTGAATTGTTCAATTGACAGACAAGCAGCGGAGGTGATGAGAGTCAAAAAACAGCAACAACAACAACAAACATATTTACAATTTAAATGTATCTAATTTCACTTCCCCCCTCCTTTATTACTACCCACACACATCCTTTCGGCTTTTTAGCCCTTGTCTCTTTCAGACCTGATCCCTATTCTTAGAAGGGTTTAGTCTGAACCAAAGGCATTTTTTACTTTATTTTTCTATCACAATGTGAACTAGGGATACCAATGTACACTTTAGATCAAGTTTGGAAAATAAAGAACTGCCTAAGATGAGCACATCCTAGCACTTTCTAATAGCAGAAAACCGGAGATTCTGCTTGTTACAACCTTGGCTTTCTGTTCTGTATTGGGTGTATGGGCAAGGGTTTGGTAGTTGGGGGCTGCAGGAGTGGCTGCAGCCCGTGGAGGAGCCCCCGGTGGAGCAGGTGGATGTGGCCTGGAGGAGGCTGCAGGCCCATGGAGAGCCCCCGCAGGAGCAGGCCCCGGGCCAGAGCTGCAGCCCGTGGAGAGGAGCCCATGCAGGAGCAGGGCACATGGGGGGAGCTGCCACCCACCCGTGGGGGACCCATGCTGGAGCAGTTTGCTCCTGGGGGATGGACACCATGGGACAGAGCCGTGTGAGAGCAGTTCCTGAAGAGCTGCTGCCTGTGGACAGCCCCCGCAGGATCAGTGCAGGAAGGACGGCATCCTGAGGGAGAGACCCCACGGGGAGCAGGGGTAGAGAGGGACTGTGAAGAAGCAGCAGAGATGAAGCATCACTAGCCCCAATTGCCTGTTCCACCGCACTACTCAAGGAGAAGAGGTGGAAGAGAAAATCTGTGTGTGGGGGAAGGTGTCTTGAGTTTGTTTAATTTTAGTTTCTCACTTCTCTAACTTGTTAATAACAGGTAATAAAGAATGGATTACATGTATCTCCCTATGCTGAGTCTTTTTTTCACCATGACAATAATTGTTGAGTGATCTCCCTGTCCTTATCTCAACTCTTGAGCCCTTTCCATATTATTTTCTCTCCCCTTCCTTTGACGAGGGCGATTGAGAGCATGGTTGTGGTGGAGTTCAGCGGTCCAGCAGGGTGAAACCAACACATGCTCCCGTCTGGAATGTAATGTAACTAACGAGTTCTACTACAGGTTAGCAAGGTCAGACACAATTCCTATTTTATAAAATTAAACATTCTGTCACAGTCTCATGGCATTAATCCAAAAATCAGGGCGATATCATATGCTTGTGGAAAGTGGGCAATTCAGATCATTACAGGGATTCAAAACCAACATTTCATTTTTATTATGTAGAAAGAATGATGTTTTCTCACCTTTTCTTCATTTGCAGCCAATAAAGATTCCATTCCTATCTTCAACCGTTGAACTTCTTGATCTAAAAATGTTTTCAAAATGTTATGAGAAAAATACACTTGCTATATTTAGTGTAAATGATATCTGTTTTGTACTACACTCTCCATGTTCTTATAAATTACCAAAACCATGTCAGTGGCATGGCAAATTAAACTACATTTAATTTAAAGCTTTTCAACAACTAACTATTAAAAGCATCACACAACACAAACAAGCTGGTTTTGTTTATAAGAGGCTACACAATGCTATTTCATATTCTAAAATTCACGAAATAAAAATAAAAGAAACAGTGAAGCTTTTTTTGCAAAATATGAGAGCGTGTTTGCTGTTATACATTTATGGAAATAAATTTAAGCATGATTGAAAATTAATTTTATTCCATCTGGGAAAAATATTCTCAAGCTTATGAGAATTAGTTCAAGGATATTCAAAAGTCTTGAAAATGAAAAATAACAATAACCATTTTGATATTCTATAATGAGGAAAATTTGTAAAATACTTTTTTCTGAAAACAGCTCAGTATAAATAACTGAGTTAAAATCTGCATAAAGAGCTAATACATAACTGCCTCACACAAGATGGTGTTACAATATAGACTCAGAGGTTATTAAAAAATTATATAGTCAAGAACACCCAAAACACATTTTCTGAAACATATGAGGTTGTTAATTACATCATCCTAACTTTGCTGAACCAAATCTTTCATTTTTTCTCTACATTATATTCTTAACGAGTCCTCTGGTACCAACTTGCACTAAAGCAAACCTAGATTGTGGAGATAAAACCTGAAATAATTTATCTGCTGAAGCTGCCACTTCAGGAATTCATGCATTGACATTAGACCAGTCCCATTTGTTTCACAAAGGACTATGAAAAACAGATGTGCAGGCATGAAGTGAGAGAGAAGAAAGAGAATCAATACTGTAAAAGAGCATTTTAAAAGGTTTTATAACTATATGTTGAATATACAATGCAATTTCTCAACTATTTGCAAAAAATGGAATTACTGTTTTCTAGTAGTGATTCTGAAAAATATACACCTTGTAATGATTACATTTTAAAACATGTAAATGAACTTTGCAAACATTCCTCTTGCAAAAGAGAACACTTAGTAATTCAAGACATGCATGGACACAGCCAAATCAAAAACTGAAGCCAGCAGACAGTGGGCAAGCAATTGGAAAAAAATTAAAAAGCCATTAGAAATCACAGTCCTAATGATTTCTGTTAAAAAATATTAGACTTCAAAAAGAACTGATGTCGAGGTATTTTTAAGCACACAAAGCAAACTTTACTTAGAATATTTATAACAACATCACATATAGAAACAGTTGTTTGTTTGTTTGTTTTTTTTTTCAGACCCAAATCCTTCCCTCTTTCTTTTCAATTTTGCAATAAGAAAAGGCATCTTTCCAGATATTGTATGGGGTTTACATATGTACAAATAAAAAGAGGTAAAGGTTAAGTTTTGGCTCTGTTAACCTTGACAACGTCCGTTTGAAGTCCAACTATCTGTTTTGTGAACCTCTGATTTATTTTCTGAAGTGAAATCTTACCAAAGAGGGCAAGTAACCGTCTGCTTGCTGCAAGCAATGAAAGCAATGTCTTATGTATATTACAATTAGACAGCCAAATCTAAACAAACATTGAATTACTGCTGCAGAATGCATTTGAGTTATAATTTGTGTGAAAGGAACAGTAAAATAAAGCCAAAAGTGAATTGCAAGGCTTACGTTTTTCTTTTAGCCTTCTCCTATAAACTTCCTCTACGGTGGTAAATGGTGAGAGTCAAAGTATACAGAAAAAGCACAGATTAGATAAAGTTTGCATTTTAACTAGAATATGCATTCTAGCATACTAGAAAGTACATTGACATTACTCTTCTACTTTATTTGAGAAGACCACCTAAAAATTTGATGAATCAGTATTTTTTTTTTCAGAAGCATTATTACTGCTGCATACTGTTTCTATTCAAATGTAGTCTAAGTGGTTTCCTTGAAGTTAGCTTAAAGAATCTCTGTACAAGGTTTGATTCTTCTCCTGCTGGAATCAAGGAGAGTTTTACCCATCTTCAGCATGAACGGGACCAGAAACATCACTGAATGTTGAAAGTCGCTGAACACTCTACTTATTGGTAATCAGCTATCTGTACCTTAAATACCATAAATTATTTGAGAATCTCATAGAAAATACAAAATCCTATTAGTAGGAGAGTTTGTCTACAAAACACTGCTGTTAGAGAAACTAATTTTCTAGTTAGACATGCAGTACTTCACATGCACAAGCTCTGCAAATGAGTTAAATTAGCACTAAGTACATGTTAAGGCTTTACTGGAAAGGACTGTCACTGCTTCAGAATAAACAACAGTCAAAAGTACAGACTGTCCTCTTCAAGAAAAGAGGTGTCTGCATTAATTCCTCTAAGGAGACTCTTGTTAAGCCCTAATAAAGAGGTAGCACAAGTTACCTAAATTACCTCTTAGCAAAGGCTCTATTTGAAAGCATTAGTTAACATACACAAAAAAGTTAGTGCAGCTGTCTGATACACTGTGGTAAACTATACACAAATGTTCCTGCACAGAGTCAATATTGTAGAAGAAGGTCACTAGGATCATAATGCTCTTGGCTCAGCAATTGACAGAAGCTCTAGGGAGTCAGTAGGTTCAGAGAACTGTGGCATGACTGGTTGGGATCAAAGTGTAAATGAACTCATTTAGCTGCTATTGATGTGTATCAAGCATACAGATTTAAAACAAATCTGCATTACAATCCTGAACAAATGAAAGGCGTGAATTAACAAATACATTTGAGAATGGTATGTCACTGAAACATTATATTTAACTACTACTGTCACTTTTTTTCCTCTTAAAAAACATCAACTATAAAGGTTCTTCAATGAAATTTTGAAGGTAGACACAAAAAATATATTCATACTGAACAACGACTGTTTCAAATTATAAAGATAATCCCAGTAGGAAAAAAAATCAGTACAATTCCCCTCCTCTTACCTCTTTCTGCAACTTCGCTATGTGATGAGGTCCTAGATAGTTGACTTTGTAAGCGTTCTATTTCTGCATCTTTGAGAGCTAATTGCTCCTGAAGCTGGGCTATCTCTGCCTGAAAGAGAGTAAAATAAATTCAGAATAACATTGTCACAGATTGTCTGTGATTCTTCCCCATGAACTAGAAGATTTCTAAGCATAACACTTTATTTTGAATGATGTCCTGTTCCCACTTTGGGACATAACACTACAACAATCTTATGCATTTCGTGGTATTGCTATCCTATTCCTTTTACACTCACTTTAACAGCTCACTTTTTACAAAAATTAGCTCTCAGAGAAGAGAGTTTGAGAAAGACAAGATTTTCAACAATTTGTATAGGTAAAGAAACTTTAGAAAGCTCTCAGCACTACAATGCTGACCATTCAACAATGACTACAATAGGGCAACTCCTGAGTTTTTGCATGTAGACCACTATAAAATAGCAAAGCATTTTAAATATATATATATACACACACAAGCATGCAGCAATTATCGTAAAAGGAAAACATGCCATGAAAGAAGTGATTGTCTAGCTTGAAACACAGTGACTCATCTCTTTTTGCTATTTATGAGAAAAACTGTCAACAACATGCTTTACTAAGTTAGTAACTTCATTACGATTTTCTTCAGCACCCTTAAAGCACTTATAGTTGATCCTCTCCACTTCAAGCACACAACACTTCCTTACAATTTAAAAAAAATAAGTAATGTGTGACCAGTTTATCAACATATTAAAATAAAGGGGGAAAAATGCAAAGCACCAAACAGTAGATGAACAAGATAAAAGATCGACTGGTTTATTCTAATGTACAAACTTATCTTTTAACCAGGAAGCAAACGGATGGCAGCAAGAGTTTACTACTCTGCCTGCAATTCCTCATGGGGTAGAGGAATCTGCCTTGCTCGCACTGGCTCGTACACTTCCCAGTGACTAATGTGCTTTTTATATCCAGTCATGGAAATATTCCAATTTCTCATCTAAGACACTGGAGCAACAGGAAGACAAAGCTTCAGGCCTCTTAATACTAGATTTGGATTTGCCTCTGCTCGTCTATTTGATCTCATAGTACTCTTAAAGGCCCTCCTTTCCTTTTAATTTCTCATTCCTGTTATCTCTGCAATTACTTTTTTTCTTCTCTCTTTCCCTCTGTTTTTCTTCCTTTCTCTTTCTGTATCTTCTCTCACACATTTTACTATTCTCTCTTATTTTCATTTTGCTTCTACCCTCTCCATAATCTTTATCTATCTTGGCAGCTGGCCACATACTGCTTAACAAAATATTTTCCCAAAGGCTGTTCATTGCTGCCACGTCAGAGAAAACATTTTCATGGAAATAAGAGCTTTTAACTTAATAGAAAAAAATATGATACCAAAACTTCAATATTCATCTAAGAATTCTCTAAAAAAAATTTAATACAGAGAACAACTATCTGTCATATCCGGATCAAGGTATCAAGGATTACAAAGAAAACTCAGTTTAATAATTTGAAATGCTTTTTTTTAAGATCCAACCACAACTCGAAAAAAGTCAATCATTTATATAAAGTGATTATAACACCACACATATGAAAGCAAAGATGTGATTACAGAACAGAAAAGTGCACCTCAACAGGGAAAATAGTAAGTACCTTTTAATCTAGTGGAAAAGGGCTAAAAATTCAAATTAGAAATAAAGTGCAAGTGTTTAATGATGACAATGTTCAACCAGAAAAATAAATTACAAGCAAAAATGACCAAATGTGTCATATGTTGAGTTACTCCAGATGAAAATCCGACAGCCTTCCAGGAGTTAAGGTCAACCCAGGGGTAAGACAGATAGGCTCTTTGATACTGACGTGAAGTCAGAGTAGATGATCTAATAGTGTATTTTGGGCTTAACCTCTGTTAAAATAAATTCCATAGTAAGTCAACACCCATCCAACTTTGCATGTCTCTTCTCTTCAGTCTAGAAAGCATGTTCCACAGAGGCTTGTTACCATTATACAAATAAAAGACAGAAAATCTTCAAGGGAGGCTCCTTCCCAGAACAATTCTTTTGTTAGATGAAATGCCTCTTTTTTATTTATTTATTTATTTTTTTTAAGAAGAAATACAAAAATTAGGAATGGCAGGGTGGGAGCAGAAAGCATAAAAAGAATCTACAAAAACTGTAGTCCAAAATACTTATTACAAAGTTGGTTCAAGAAAAAACAGACTATACTAGGCATTGACACAAGGCAATCGTAACAGAAGTAAATACTGGTGAGAAGTGTTTGCCAGTTTCTAGCTGCAGTAAGCCTGTCATTAGCAAGTGTCAAGTATTCTGCTTACTTTAGTTGCTTTTAATTTCCACTCGTATTGATTTCTTTCATTTTCCAGTTCTTCCACTTTAATTTTGAGGTGTCTAAGTTCCTGTAGCAAACCCTGCAAGGAAGAACAACTAAAAGTAAGATTACTCAGGAAGATATTAATTTTCCATGGTTATGCATTCAAGATCATGCAAGAATTATGCAGTAATGAACACTGAACCATCACATACAGAAGTTGTGGCCTAGTTTGAGCAGACAAAAACTATTTTTAATTGAGAGATTATTATAAGGAACAGTTTCTCAAACACTATACCTGAAATTATGCACAAATTTCTTAGTCATAGTAAGGAAGACAGCTGACTTTAGGAATCCCTGTGAATCTCAGTGAAAATGAACAAAAAAATCTACATCTACAGTCTCATACAGCATTAACGATTGTTTTTTATTTGTTTTCACTACCACCAGAAAGCAGGTAGAAAAATGTGAAGTACTGACAGATTACTGACTTTCATTAAAGCAACATTTGTCCCTCCAAACAAGTGTTTAAGCTACTTACCAAGAAAAATAACTCAGACTAAGTGATATTCAGTTATAGGCCTTTAATACCACACACATAGAGTCAAATATGACTAGCAATATGTTACTTTCAGCATTGATTTTTGCAACTTTGCAAACAGGGTTGATGCAGCATAGAGTTGCAGCCATCTCTGGCTATTCCTCTGACAACGTTGTCCCTTAAATGTCCTTTCTCCCTTTCCTTCATAGAGCCAAATCTTAATGCTTATTCTTGAGGACAATACCAATAAGTTCTTGATAGAACGTTGATGAGACCAAATGTCTTAAAATGAACTGAGGAACATAAAATATTGGAAGCATAACCCAGTTTTGGAGTCCTGTATAGTACATACATTAAACAACCATACTTGTATCTCAGATAAAATGAATACTTATTAGAAAACATTTTATACCTGTGTTAAGCTTTTAAGATATTCAGGAATTAATTATCATCTTTGTTCAAAGGACTGGTTAGGGTGTCATTGTTGTGAGAAAAATTAGCCAACTACCAAACCATGCATATCAAACAAATTTCAACTAAGAAAACAGGAAAAAAAAAAAAAAGGAGGAAAAAGGAGGAAAAAAAGCCCCACACCAGCACTGTAGACCTATGAGTAAAAAGCAAATCATGTAATACCTGAGAGAGGTGATTGGTTCTTCTGGATATCTGTGCTGTAGTACATAGATATCAAGTGTGACCAAATTTGTCCCAGTGACCAGGGGAGAAAAGTGGGGGGAATAAACTGTCTGTTGTCTTTTTTGTTTCTTTGGTTGTTTTATTTGTTTTTCTTCCCTGTTTTTTTGTTGTAATTTTTGCAACCACCTCTCTCTTACTCATGAGAGTCACAGCGATTAATGCCAGTAATTCACAACACAGCCCTGGTTAGTGGAATTTAGTTTCTGCAAGAAAAGAGTCAATACACAAGCTTCTGCTAAGGTGTACTTCTCGTACATCACACTGAGAGCAATTCTTCTGGCTGAGAGTCTCTATCACTGATCTTGGACTACAGTGAGGGCCATTAGGTGTCACATCTGGTTTCCTATCTTGAGACTTTCTTTCTTGGATTCTACTATTAATTTCCAGCTGCAGTCTACACATCTGCTCCTGGAGCTCACTTATCAGGTTCACTACTGACTGAAAACATGGAGAAAAAAAAAAAAGACAGGTGAGAAAGAAAATGAAGACAATATGCAAAGAAAATATTTCTACAGTTGTAGCACAGAGAAATACAGGGAGCATATCAAACTATAGAGACAATGTGTTTTCCTTCTGTTATATGTAAATAGCCATAAATCTGGAATATCGTGCAGAGCACTGTAGTTCCGTAGAACAGAATCTACATTCCAGACTAATTCATGATTCCAATCCTGATACAAAGATCAGAATTTGGGCCCGCATTTTCAGTAAATTATCCAGTCAGATGAAGTCAGATTTTAGGAAAAAAATGGAACATATTTTGATATGCTGGCTGAGAGGCAGCCTTTTGCTGAAATTGATTTTGTTACACAGAGAAATCATCCACTAGGGAAAAAAAAATTAGCTCAGCTGAGCCCATAATCTACTCTTTCCCAATCTATAAACAAAATTTACTAGTAAAATCATTCTACTTCCAAGTTTAGCAAGGGTCAGAAAAATACTCCATTACCTAGCTTGAAAGCTAGACAGTATCTGGACCCTGAGAAACAGTTAAGCAACATGGAGAAATCAAAGAATACCACAGAAGCAATGGCCTTAAAGTGTACTGACTTGCTGGCTAGCTTCCCTGAAGCAATCAGTGATACACAGACACACACACACACAGACACACACACAAAATCCAGTTAAAGAAAGCAAGTCAAATACAACTATTAAAATCTATATAAAAATTCACTTAAATCACCCAATTCAGCAGCAAATAGTGCTGGGTATTTTATCAGATATTACAAGTTTGGAGGGCTTTTCTCTGAATTTTCATGCACATTAACAACATATGTTTTGTGACTTCTCAGTTTTACCAAGAGAAATAAATTGGATGAGATTAATCCAACTCCCAAGGGAGTGAAAAAGTTTTTAATGGACAGAAGACCAGATGACAAAAGCACACATACTTATTTTTTATTCTTCCTTACAATGAATAAGAGTCCTTCTGTAATCCCAGCTCTCTGCTGATTCAATAAAGCTGCTTGCTCAGTGCTAGGGAACGGCTATGGCGAGGACAGGACACTGTTCCAACCAGGAGAGTATTTCAGACAACCAATCTCAAACTGCACCAGCACCCACAGGCAAGCCCAAATATTCACAAAGATTCTCTTTCAAAAGCTTACACCAGTTAGCTAAAAGAGATTCACACCAGTTAAGTATTTTTCAAGTACAGTGTGCTTATGATCAAATTCAGAATAGCAGCTGCATATATTTCCATTTGTACGAATCACTCTGAATCAGGCTCACAATGTCTGATGCTCATCCTTTTACATCCAACAAACTTTTTAGACATATAAATGAGAATTAGGTCCTTAAACAATCAAAAAATGTAGAAAGTGTACTGTGCCTCAGTATACCAGCTCTCTAATATAAAGTCTTTTTTATGCTGAAATATTTTGCCAGAGCTGTACAGCTAAGAGAAAGATAGCTTCCTTCAGTATCAGCTCACCTAAGTGAAATCATCTCTTTCGTATATTCAGTGTCTACATTTCCCACTCCGCAGCAACACAGTGGGACTCTGGTGAGGGGAACATCCCTGTTGCTAACTCTTCCTCTTATAAGAGAACTGCAAAGAACACTCATCAAACTTGCTTGTATAATTTAGATGCTATCCACACCCCCTCCACCTTCCATGCTTTGATTTTGTTTCTTTTTCACCATCATCTCCACAATCAGATACCTCCCTGAGCAGTACCAACTGGCAAGTGGAATCCTCAGGACACATGCCCATCTGCCTTGCTTTCTTTTAAGCACCACGATACTAGTCTGTGCTTGTCTTTGACACAGAACACTGCTAAACCATATGAGGTTGTAAAGAAGCACTTGTTAAACAAGATACACAGACTCGCAGTGGCTCCAGCTGCAGCAATGTGGGAGAGTTCAGAACCACTATTGCTGCTGCCTTGTAATTCTTTCTCTTCTGAGTCATATTAAAAAAAAAAAAAAAAACACACACAATGGGAAACACTGCATCCAACATACTTCCCTCAGGGAAGACCTGACTGCACAGAAACGACAGAAATCCTTACCTCTGTGAAGGGTAAGATAGGTCTACAGAAGAGTGAAGGATGAACTCCAGATGCAATATATGCCTCTACAGTTGTTTCCAGTTTCAAGATGGAAAAAGGCTTTTAATTTCTGAGATTCTTTCACAGTATGAAAATTTATTGACACTAAAATACCCTGGCTTGGATTTGACTCAGGTGAGACGGCACACCCAAATCCCCAGAGCTGTGCTGTACAGAAGACCAGAAGGGGTATTTGGCTCACTGACTCACGTTCCTCTGAAATGGCAAGTAACTGTGTAGTAGATATTTAATTCAAAAGTACCCACAAAACACTTTTCAACAGCTTATAGCAACCTTCAGATCATCAGTACGGAAAAGCAAAAATCACCAAACTTATATGACAGAAAATAAAAAGTAGGAGAGAACAAAGGCTGTTAAGCAAGCTGAAATGGACAATTATTTCTGCAGCCCCCTGATGGTGACAGAAAGTCTCTTTTGTCTATGTTTGGGTAAAACAGGCATCTGGGCTTCAGCTAAGCACTTAGTAATGACTTGGCAATGTTGCTTTCTCATAATTCGTTGCATTGAGGAAAGATGTTTGTAAAATTTCTAAGGCTTCTCAGGTAAGAGAAAAGCTACACAAATACCCTTGGGTGAGATTTCAAAACCCTTCACAGCATCATCACTGCAGCAAACAGAGCAGAACTTATTCCACAAAAAGGGAAATCAAAGTGACAAAGGCAAGAATGAGACCATCCGTTTACAAGCAGCCATTCTCCTGGCTCCTGTATCATATGTATAAATAAATGGCACTATAAATGTAGCATGTGCTTTTGAAAAGCCAAAGACAAGTGGCATTCAGTCTGAAATTAATACTTTGAGAGGAGGTTAGAGAAACTCTTTACTGCTAACTAAAACTAAATCTAAACCACAGCTGCACAAGATAAAGTGAAATGTATCTGACAGATTAAGATTCACTCATATTTAGAAGGATATCTTAATTTGCTTTGTTTCTCCCCAACCCAATGAGAGATATTCTACAGATTAATTCTACGTGACTAGAAACAGCTGCTGTGAAATGAGCTGGCACAAAATTAGACTACAAACGAAGTATGTTTTAGCTGACTTATCCTGCAATTTCACATATCATTTTAAATTTTTTTGAACCCGTTATAGTTGACCCTGCCATTTCTAAATATAATGAATTATAATTAAGAGGCTGTTTAAAATAGTTTAACAACCAGAGGATGCCTCTGTAACACATGCCATGGTGTAAACTGAGGACTGTTCTGATAGTAGCAAAACTATCAAATCACTGTCCTGCTCAACTCTGTCAATCCTAAAAGGCTTGAATTGGCCAACTGCAGTATAAGAGAAAGGCTCTAGCTCTGTCACTCACAGCTTTGTTCCATTTGTGTAAAACTATTAATTGCAATTTTATTTGACATATTAGACACTGTAACAGCATGTTGTAGTAGCCATGGCATTCAGATATACAATTACAGTGAGATTAATTTCATTCAGTCATTGTCAGTTTGGAGAGTGGCCTCCCTTTGAAGCAGTTAAGTTACCACAGTACAGTAGTGTTTGTGTACACAAGCAAACAGTCTACCTTCAGTTTGCTCTTAAAAGTGGATTATTCACAAAAAAGATGTAGTCAGGCAGTGGAAGCTAGCAATTTTGGAAGACAAAGGTATTGCCAAATTTGAGCAGCATTTGTTGTCCAATAGTATAAAGAAAATATGTTAATAAATTTCATTGTGATGTTTGAAATTGCGTTTGTATTGAGAATTAATAAAAACTATAGTAAAAGGAACTGAAGTAGGGTTAAGGCTTTACAATTCAAGTAAGCATTCAATTTGATTGAAAGCAACCCCCTGATTATCTTGACAAATTAGATTAAGATTTATTCAGAACAATCGGAAATAAATAAATGTCTTAGCAAGCAAACTGAAAACGCTCTTTATTTCCCACAGCTTTAGTTACAACATCCCTTTTCCTTGCTCTGCATGGATAGGTTTGCAACTTCCAACAGGCCAGAAATCTAATCACATCTTGGGGTAATTAATAATTCAGGGCACACTTAACACAATGATTCTCAACTTTTCCATCAGAATAGAATCCTTTTCCATCTCAGTGGGGCATTTCTTATCACTTAGCAATACAACAAGGGCTTCCAGACCAATAGGGCTTTTCCTTCGAAGTGAGCCACACACCTTGCTGCAGCAGCAGCAGAATTTCACAGGTCACAGTCTCACCCTCATTGCAGGCCCAGACCTAATCAGCACGTGAAATTACTGTCAGTCCAAATGCACTCAGAAGCTTTATTGCTTTCCAAGAATCAGGCTGACTGTGCATGTCTTGGAATAATTCAAGCAGCTTCTTCCTGGTATTCACCATGCAATGGGAAGTCTAAAGGCCTCTTAGGAAGACTGCAGCTGGGAACAGGCTCCCCACCTGTAGCAATTACATGTTGCACAGACCTGTTTAGGTTTTCAAGGCAGTAAGAGACTGCTTATGCCTTCTGTACACAAGACACTGACAATTATGGGTGAGAGAGCATGAGAAGGCTACAGGTGGTAAAACAGCAGCAGCTGGTACCTCTGACTTGCAACCTCTGCCAGAAAATGCTCTCTCTAAGCTATCTTTTCATCTCTAAAGAAAACTTCAGAGGACAAATAAGTCAAAAAATGAACACACCCTAAACTTATCATGTCACTGCAAGTAAATTACCTAGGCATAGTTATCAAATATTCCACTATCAACAATATGGAGAACAGTTTTCTAACACTGGCTGGATTTCAGTTTCTCCTAAGTCAACAGGAACATAAAGTCTTTTTTTTTTTAGTCAACAAAGTATAAATCTTGACTCAAGCCACAGCCCTATTAATCCTCCCCTGCTAGGTAATCCTCCCAGGCTAGGCGGTCCCCTTGCAAGACCACTGGGTAGACATACACACAGCACTTCATCTGAATGACTGTCTTCCATAATCCCTTTCTTCTCTGTTTCCCACCTGCTGCTTGCTACCATAGAGTTTTCTGTGGAACTGTACCCAGTAAAGCAAATGGATGTTGTTCATATTATTCCCCATTTCATATTCTCTTCCTTAACTAATACTGTAAAAATCAAAGCTCCTTTGATGTGCAGAACACTACACATCTAAGGGGAGAAAGGATGAGAATCACCTCCAATGCAAGTGTTTTTTTTTCCTACTATTTATTATGTCACCACAAGGGAAAAGGTCCACGTGAAGAAAATGCTCTTTCTCAGAATGAATTGAAGTCACTGAGGGTCTCTGCTTACAAATGTCTGTAGCATCCCTGATACTGCTGAGCTTACAGTATTTCTCTGTCATAAAACAAGGAAACAAGCTTGGTAGGCTTCAAACATCCATGCCAGTACAGCTTCCATTTCCTGGAAACGAAAGGGTTACCAGAAAGACAGTATGCTGCTGAAAGGGACTTTGTGTCTTGATTAAAGCCAAACAGCAACCTTTGAAGCATAATGAGAGAGAGGAAAAGAAACCACATCCCAAAAATGCATAACCATATTCCTCACTGAATTCACAGGGCCAATGACAGACTGTGCTGTAAATATGCAAGATCCTATTGCATGCTGATTTCAGCTCAAAAACTCAGGTGTATGACAGCATACTACAGACACGGATAGGAAAAAAAAAAAAGAAAACAATCTAAAGAAACTCACCTCAGCTTTGTTTTGTTTCTCTTCATATTCACTCTGTTCCTTCTCCATACCAACCAGCTTAATTTTCAGGTCTGAAACTTCAGCCATTAGATCCAATTTCTGAGTCTCTAGTGATGTTCGACTTAGCAGCTCCTGAAAGCAAAGCAGAAAATTTTCCTGAGTTATTTTTATGTGAACACTGACAGAATGCTGCACGATTTGCTGACAGTTCCATACATAGGTGTCTACCCCTTTGTCTATGTTTTCAATACAAAAGCAAAATGATTCTTTTCTTCAAAAGCCACATTCACTATTACTTTACTGTGCAAAAAGCATTTAATGCTGAAAGATAGATTTAACACAGTCATTCACTGCAGGCAGAAAAAGTAACTCAAAAAGTACGGAGTGATTGGCAAATTCATGTGAAAGCAAATTTCTTTACCTCTCTTTATGTTGCCTATACTTTGAACTGTTTGAACTGCATGTTTTGAGTTCTGCAGCTCTTTTCACCTACACATTCTCCTGTGTTAATCACTAAACCACTGTCCTCTTCCCCACTTCAATAAAATGTCTGGCACAGTGTTTATCCTTGCACAAGACATGAGATCAGAAAACAACACTAAGGCTGAACACACACAAACCTACATCATAACACAGAAGCCTTCAGACAACACACTATAGAACAGTTGACTGCTTCCTAAGATATTCATCAGACGGAGCTACATTTTAGTATTTTAATGCAGTGTTTTAGAACATTTGATCATACGTTATTCAGCAAAGGTTATGTTACAGAACAAGCACCCTAACCAAAACAGTACCAAAGATAAACAACATTTCTGTAGTCATGCTAACAGTACTTTAAGTTTATACTGGGTAGTACTTGGTAACTCTTCAAGACTACTAACTGTAGAGGGAACAACATTGAAAAAGAAGCAATAATACCCAACTGGAACCTAAAAGGCAATATCTAAACTGACTAATACCAAACTAGAAACAATTGGCCATGACTTTTGCTCGTGTGCCCTGAGTTCATTTTTCAGATTGCAGAGAAAGGCATACTTTGGACAGAGTGATATCACTGTATTTGGAAAACATTCACCATTCACCTTCATTGCATCTTTCAGTTTCCAAGAAAGCAAAAGCCAAAAATCTTCAAAAACGTAACAGAATATATTTGAAGTTACGTCTCTTGGTCTCTATTTTCAAAGTGAAAAATCTATTCAGGAGTTTAAGTCCTACTGAAAATTCAATACTTAATTTTCCAAGTGCCTATTTTTATTTATTTATTTATTGGATATTCTATTTTTTAAATTTTGATGGTAATTTGTAACTCACATCTATGTTTTGATCACATGAAACATACTGAGGAATTACAGCATGTTCTGCTTTGAATTACATGGAAATACCTTAACTGAATTTAGCATAGATATTCCGGATCTATGCTGATGTTACTGAGAGGTCAAAAACTGCCCTTTCCATCAGTATGCTTTTCTCATCTTACCCTCTTCCACAAACTGCAGAGTATGTTGTATACTATGGTTTAGAGCCAAGGAAGCCACAAACAGTATTTTAAAAATTATACAGTTAAAATTCATTTGGAACCCAAATCTGCTTTATATGTAAATTGTTTTAGTCTGGTGGGGAATACTGCCCAAATTAGAAACAGCACTCAACTTGCATCCGCATTGAAACAAAAGTTATCTAAGCCACCCACTATTCCCAGTGTTGTGCCCACTCTGCTGACATTGACAATGATATTTGTGTATGGATGGGAGAATAAACAGAAATGTAGTTTTATTATTATATTTATTTTTATTTTTTTGGTTTTTGGATGGAATAATGGAATAATCAGGAAAAAGTAATGCATTGACTTTATTCCTATTCTAAGAAGCAGTCACCTAATGAAATCCCAGTACTAGCTGCTTTCTACAAAGGTGATTACAAATTGCAATTATAAATAACCCCTCAGTGTTCCAGGGATAAAGGATGACATCCTCATTAATTTACACAAGATCCAGTTCTGTGCATATTCCAGCCCTGATTGGAACAGGCTTTATACGGATGGTAACACAGCACATTTCTGCAGATTAAGATACAGCTATAAATGAGAACTCTGATAGAGAAATAGGGCCACTTAACATCAAACGATCTAGCAGGATAAGAGGCTCTATTCACTGTTGAACTAACACAACTTTATTTATTTATTTTGACACTGACTTGGCATTCAATGATGCAACAGGAATATTTCTTAATAAGGCATAGCATCCATCTAGACATTTTTAACAACAGATCTGTCCTTTGAGTACACTGTCTGTTATTAACTCCCTACTTTTTCAATAGGCTCCTAAATTACACTTACTTGTGCAGTGGAGAGTAACACCTCACCCTTATTCTGAGTTCAGCAGCTCCATGTGAAGAGTAAGGTGCTAGCTGGTATGAGTGAGCATGAAGGCAGCTGAGATCATTTTTTAATCAAGTCAAACAAAACTTTACAGTTTGCTCTGAAGCTGGAGGATCAGATCCTCAGCGAGTGTAAACTGGCATAAATCTCTTGCCTTAAAATAGACAAAATAGCTAACTAGCCCTGGTTTGTTTTCAATGGAGCTACATTGATTTAAAACAGCTGACAATTTATCTTGCATCTAGAGTGTCTAACTTTTGCTTTGAAAGAAAGTGCCGTTTTAAGTAAATGTCCCCTCTTGAAATGGATAACATCTGGAAGCAATTATTTTCATCTTCAAGCAGATGCTCACAGCGAACAGCTCATTAGAGAATGTGACCCATTTTGTTACAGAGAAATTATAGTGTATTTCAGTGGTATGATGCAACTTGAAGCCAGCCAGAATAAATATGCCATTGTAAGAAAAGAAAATACAAATTTATGTTATTGGTTTTAAAGCAAAAAGGATAATATGAGAGAGGCAAAATGGTAATTAGGGTTGTAGCAGCTTTAGGAGGATTTCAAAAATCTCAAATATAGAACATATTCTAAGAAATCTTATGTATAAGCAAGTTACTTGTTTTTCATTTAAAATCCATTAAAAATACAAATTAATTTCTTGAAGGTCCTTTTTGTGAAAATCAACTTTTAATCTTAAAAAGCTAAAGAAAATGCTATTTTAGAGTAGAATAATTACAAAGATGACTCATGCAGAAGGTACAAAACATGTATGGCAGACAGATCAATGCACACCAAACTAGTTCCAAACACAACTGTATTTTTCAAATTCACTCTGTATACTTCGTAAATATTTAATCATGCTTTTCAATATTCCTAGTGAAACTGACACATGCACTGTATCTCACACATTTGGTTGGCTTGGAAATACAAATTTCTCATAAAGCTGCTTATAAAATTTAACATGACAGAAAACAGCTTAGAAAGAGGGCACCCACACTATTCTAGGTTATCTGTTTTAAGCACTGTACATTTTAGGATATTTAGCAGTCTACAGAACAGATGAAATAATTGTGCTATATACTGTTTCAGAAACCATAAATAAGATTCTAGACAAGTGGAAAAAAAAAAAAGCAGACGCTAGGGTCTCGTTTGCACTTGTGCACTGTACAAAATACAAGACTTCAAAATTTCATACTTTTCACATTCATTAAAGTAGCTGAGAGAGAGAGAGAGGCAGAGACAGATGGACCTACCTGGTAAGCAAAATTCAGCAAGAACCACCGCAAATGAGGACTGCACTTTCCAAGTGCTGTGTGTCAGCTGTGGTGGAAATAAGATATTTGCTTAACTGAAAACACAGCTGAGAGCAATGTACGTGTGTAATCTCCATGAAATGGTGCAACTCAGTAGCAGAAAGTGAATTACAGCCCTCCAATTCATCATTTGTCCATTATATAGTTAAGCAACAGAAAGGATAGAACTTCCCATTGCATTCACAAATTGGACAGTCCTTTGCATGTATCTGACAAGCAGATGTGCCTATAACTGTAAAATAATAAAGCAGTGCAATGCTCACCTGTATAGATAAGCTGCACAACTTGAGAGCACACTCTGAAAACCTCACGCCTTACAACCAGAGCAGCACAGAGCACACTTTAAACTCTGAAACAGTAAGCTAGCTGCTGGCAAGGAGTTACCACACGTTATAAACAAGTGCTGAAATTCATTTAAGATCAGATAACTGAGGCAATTGAAAGTTGAAGGAATGAACCTTGCCAGCCAACAAAGTTCCTGAGAAGCAAACAGATACACACCAGATTTGCACTGTGCAACCAAGATAGGATTCCGTCTCCCTTGAGAAAAAGACAACAGCAAAAACAGAATAGGTACATGCTAAATTGCATGGGATTCAAGTTCCTACTCTAATACAGCTCCTCCCTGCATTTTTTTTTTTAATTTTTTTTAAGAACATTCTCAATTGTGCCTCACCAAGGATGTTGTCTGGCACATGTTCACCTGCTCTGCGCACCCAGGTAGAAATTAGCCATAAACTAACACCAGAAAGAAGAAAAGCACAGAAATTCACTCCTGTTCATTCAAGTGTTTCAGTCTCCATGCGTTTGAGACAGAAAAAACCCTAAAGCCAAGCACTTTGTACTTTGCAACAGAATTTAATCGACAGAAGACACAATAATCCTTATGCAATGCAGCCATCTGACAAGATTCCTCTGGATTCCTTAGTGCAACTACGTGTCACAAATAAGCTGGAAGGCAAAAACAAACTGTCAAACCACATTTAGGATTTGGTACAGGTCAGGCAGAAGACAGTCACTGCCACACAGTTCAGCATTTTGGCACAACTTTGGTTGGCAAAATAACCTGTACATTTTATGCCCTAGAGCTTCAATGACAACTAGTATCTGCTAAATCAATCAAGTGCAGCACAGGAATAGCAAAGAAGTATTTTCACTTGCGATAATTACTATACCAAATGCACTTAAAAGAACTGTGGAAGTGAAATCCGAATGTGTAGAAAATTCTCTTTTCAAACTGACAAGAATGACAACATTGATTCCATCGCACCAGTGCATTTGCGTTCTGGCTGGCTGGTGCTTTCTGTTATGGGACAATTTAGGACAACTACTTTATCTATATAGAGAGAGAGCAAAATCTACTTCTGCTTTCCAATTCTGTTCTACATTTATTCACAGTACAAATGAAGCAAAAGTTGATCAAATGTGGATAGGAAGTCCCCCCGAGGCTAACGTAGCAGATGTTCAAGATCCCCTCTTTGCTTAAAATTTCTTTTTTAAAATTCACTGGAAGTTCTTAGAAATGCTACAGATTAATTTAGAGCAAGACACATATCCACCATTTTTCTCTAAAATCAGCTGTAATATCACATTTTAAAGTAGCTGGTATACTAGAAATGGACTGTCACAACATAAATTGTGTTTTTAAGATAATTCCAGGAGGTTTATTGTTTATTTTTGTTTTGTTTTGAGACAAACTCATTACAATGTACTAATGGGCAAGGGAGGCAACTATTCACACAGGTATGATTTCCATGTCTTTTACACACTCATTGGCAACTAAAAGTCAATTCAGAGAGACCAAACTGGGGTCTTGTTCCTAGGCATGCCCCAGAAAATTTTTTCTTACCACTGGCTATGATTGAAGAACAAGAAAACATTTTTCTTGGCCCAAACTAAAAGGATATTTAATGACGGATCTAAAGTTTTGCCGTTGACTTTCATGAGTTCTTGAAAGACCTACTTCATTTTAAAGACAATGCAAATACCTCAAAGGCAGTGTTCTTTCTTAATTAGGGTCTGTAGTGGAAAAAGTATCCTTACAAAAGCAGAATGTTGAGTTTGACATAGTAGCATCACATGTCATGAAAACATACATGTCATATTTATTTTGGCTGTGGTTTCATAAACATCTAGGTCAAATGTGCAGTCCACCACTGTCCTTATGCCATGCCTTAACCTCTTCTGTAAGCTGGTTCAATTCACTAACCCAGCAAAAAATATCTCCTTTTAACCACTGCCTGCGCCCCCATTCCTTTCTGCCCAGTCATAGAGAAAAAATTCTGGTGAGCATCAGAGTCAGTAAAAAATAAGTTTCAGATGCACATATTCAGGAACAGAGAGAACAAAAGAACAGAACAAAGCCTTCTCTCTTTTCTCTCTCTCTCTTTTTTTTTTTTTTTTTTTTGTAGTGGAAAGCTGTTAGATGATCTCAACACGTTTCCCTAAAGCCCACATTTTGACTAAGGAATATTGGTCCCTCCTCTTAGAGAATCACAATTTCCTCCAAAGAAGCAGCATCTCTATTGTTCAGCATTCAAGATGTCCATCCCAAATGCTGAACAGCCTTTTTAGGTAATTCGAACAAAGTTTATTTTAGCTGCTGTTTCAAAAGTGTTTGCATGATAGCTTTGTAGCAGGGTTCAAAACAACTGTGCATAAATCATAAGCCAAAAGGATTTTAGCCAGTAACCGCACCCTTACAAAGTGGACAAGTCTCTGCTAGCACAGACTCAGAAAAGCTATTTTGCAGGGTAGCATTACATACCCTTGCTGTCGTGGTACCAACTTTTTAAGTAATTTCATTAAATTATCTTAACAAGACATATCATTTTTTCGTTGTTGTTGCTATAGCATTTTGGGCACAAAATTAAGTTAGATTTCTTATAGTTCCCAAAATTAAAAAGACAAAGCTTATGCTGTACTGACATACATGGGTTCTCAGGTAAGTAAAAAAAAAATATGCATATCCATATTGCAGTTACCTTAGTTCTACCAATACACGTTAAAGATTGCTCAAAATATGGCAATTGTCTTAATCATTCCATCTTCTGTTTAGAAGAAGCTGTCAGCTTAAGATCACAAATGTAGGAATCAATGTAGTTCAATATATTCCAAATAAGTAAGCAGAACCAAGAACTAAAACTGGATTTACAATATACCTCAAGAGAATAATAGAAGTCTTTCTGAAAAGCAAGAATGTTTATACAGGCAGATAGAGGTGGATGATTATTATTTATTTATTTGTATTACAAAACAGGTACTTTCCTGCAAAAAATAAATTAATACCGTAATAATGTCTTAATTGCCCTTGAATGATGCAGAGAATAATTCTGACTGGAAAAACTCAATGACAACATGAATATCTTTCATGTCATTACTAAGTGTCATGGGCACTTGTACAGGACATTGGAAACTGCTGACGAAGACGACCTAGTTTTACATTAAAACAGGAACCTTCTACACTCTATATGAATGCATTCATGAAGTTTGAAAACAGATTTTCATAATTTAAATATTAAATAAACAGTTACTGTTCTTTGAATTTCACTTCAGATGTCACTGAAAAACTAAACGTACTTGCTGTTTACATTTTCTACAACACCTCTTCATTTAAGTATAGAATAAAACTTTTCATAGTTGGAAACTTTTTGGGTTACAACAGTTGTGAGACCAATTTTGTTTTGTTTTGATTATTATTTTATTATTTATTTATTGTTTGTTTTTATTATTTATTTTGAGAAACTTGGAGAGTTCTAACTTAAAGATGTTTAGGATACAAGTTCACCATATGGAAACTGCTACCATTTAGATACAAATGTACATGGATCCTTATCATAGTAAAATGAATTTATTCAGAATAACATAAGTTTAATTTAAAGCTTTGAATAGTTAATTGAAAGACTTGCATATTTCACACACACAGACTAAAATATTGTTTGTAACAGAACATTTCAGTGGCTGGAAAGGAGAAATACATGTTCCTCAAGAACAATATATATCCTGCAAATTTCTGGATATTTAAGGGTTATTTACAGTTTCAAATTTATTTTCAATGTCTGTGCACTGTAATACCAGCAGTTTATCTGCATGTTTAGCAACTTTTCTTCGTAGAAACAGAAGATTGCACAGGGAAATTTCTTTCATGGCCACAAACCTACCATCTGTACAGTAACACATGAAATATAAGATACTTATTATTCATCCTTCTTCCTCAATATATGTCATGAAACACCACCAATAGATTAAATCATATAGCCTGAAACTGTTGATAACAAAAAATGCCATGTACTTTTTTTTTTTTTCCAAAAAGAAGGGGAAAACTAAATTAAGCAAAAATCTGTATAGAACCTAACTTGATAGTGTAATTCATTTCAACTTTACTAACTGTTCAGCTTCAAAGCCTTATGAAAATAGAAGTTTTATTTAAATAAGTTTTCAATTCTATAACTGTACATATATGAGGTACATTTAACCTGTCTAACCAGTTACCCAACCATGTCCAAATTTAGTTCATCAGCACAGTGCAAATAAAACACAATAGTTTCATTTTACATGCTGCCACGTACAGTGTTATGTAACCAGCCAATAAAACATTTTTGCAACAGAAAAACAAAGAAACTTTTATTTCAAAAAAAAAAAAAAAAAAGTGCAAAGCAGCAAGAGAACAATAAAAAGAGGCAATTCTTTCTGTTTTCTCTTTTTGCCAAAGGCACTCACACATGCAGACAAACGAAGCTTGCATATTCTCCTCTCCTTTGGAGGATCTTATGTAAAAATCTTTCTAATTCAGATTTTTACCTGTTGAAGCATCTCTTCTGTAGCATTCAGTTTCAACTGATGCCCCTCAAGACAGATTTCTAAGTCCCGGATTTTCTCTCCTTGAGCTTCCACCTGGTCTGTAAGAACACTCACCTGTAATTTGAGAAGAGAAGCGCAATGCTACTGAACTGACTGTAAATAAATTTGAATTTCATTACACAATTAACTTCCAAATGCACATTTTTACCACAAGTTCTCTTTTAAAGTCCTTAGTAGTTTCATACTCTTTCATAACTTGCTCTACTGAGACAGTTTTCCAGTCTCACCTACAAATATTTTCATTCAACCCCCGCCCTACTTGGACTGTTTTTTTTTTAATATTAAAATGAGAGAACATTTCTAGAAGAGCTGGAAGAATACTTATAGGTAGCCTGAGTCAGTTCATGCACAAGTCTCAACAACTAGAAAACACCAAAGAACATATTATACTGAAAATACTTGAAGTGGTCTTGAAGCATGCACTGCTATTTCACGTTCTGTTGGCACTCAGCTCCCTAAAATGGGTAAATGATAAAACTGTTCATTTGGAAACCAACCAATTACCTTGCTTCTTACAAGAACAGAAAAACAGCTTACCTATCAACAAAGCGTTTTGAAGTTGTAAGGAATGCGATGAGTAAAAGGCATGTTTTAGCAGCAACAAAGTTCTATTCCAAGAAAAATTCCCAGGCTTTGCAAGCCAAAACATGACAGCAGAAGAAATGAGATACAGACAATGAATCCCAGGAAAAGAAACAATAAGCTATACTGGTAAAGAACTGTAGGAATTGTGGTACAGACTGCTGAACGTGTAACAAGAAAAGCCCAGCAGCCAAGCTCAAAGCTTGTGAAGTTCTAAAAAAAAAAAACAAAAAAACAACCAACAAACCAACAACAACCTACATGTAGGCTCAGAATAACATTAGATAGATATGAAAAAGTGTTAATTCCTATGTTAAGAAGCACATACACTCTGTAGATTCATTTTTGGTGTTTATTTATATAAAAGTAGTTTCCACCGCAGACTAAACCTTGATTACACTAGAAAATGTTACCTCAAACAACAAAGCAACCATAGGTTTCTAAGCTCCAGTTTTAATGAAACATGTTAACAAAAGCTTATCTACATTCTCGTATCCAACTCTGAAGTACTTGTACTTAAAAAAAAAAAAAAAAAAAAAAAAAAGTACTTGGAAGTGAAACCTTTAAGATGTACCCATACCCGTTAAGCAGCATTGTTAAAGCCCAAGGGAATCAACAAACAACTGAGTTCACTTCAGGGCAGCTGCAGCGGGAATGACTGGGTGATCCATATTTGTTTTACCTGCAAACATAAGGACAAGGATGCCTGGGAGAGGGATACAGAAAAAGAAAACCAGAGCATTTTATTTTTATGCCTTTAAAGTAGTTGGCCCTTGAGAAAAGCACAGATGAACACAGGATGAGAGATGACAGGAAGGAGTGGGTGGAAGGAGATCGCAACATTTTGCCACTCTTGGCCAGAAGCACACTAAGACACATGTGAGCTGGTAGGGTGGAAAGAACTGCCCATAAGGAAGTCTGTTGCTTATCAACTTTTTTGTTTCACTCCCATTACGTATGTCATGGTGCACAAGAAGTTCTTAGAGATCAGAAAGCAAGAAAAAACAAACAAACAAACAAACAAACAAAAAAAACAAAGCCCCTTCTTCAGTCTGACACAGTTTTCAGAGCAAGTAAACAAGTTTGACTTAAAGGGTCAGGTTAAGTTCCAACCAGTATTGAAACTTATAAGGAAAACTCTGTGTATTAAACGTGACCTGCAAAGGCATTTAGTAAAAGTTTAGTAGCTTTAGAAGCACTGTGCTGAATATTCCAATTATTAGGTTGAGAGGCACATTAGCTACTTTGAGCTCATATTTTCCTCTCCATTTAAGATCACATCTGCCAGACTCTTCTAGGAATCAGTAAGCTGCACACAGAGTATAACCTCAGCATATGCTGCACTGGCACGTCCATCTTGCCTTAGCAGTGCAACATCAACATGAGTCAGCCCCTAGTGAATACATTTTCCGTAAATATCTATAAGGGAGTTATATTGATAAAATAGCCCCAAATCAAGTGGTATAATATTTTAAAATACCTTAGGAAAAAGACCTTTGTGGAAAAGCAAAACAAAACAAAACAAACAAACAAAAAAACTAAACAGTAAGTACATTAGTACACAGGCACTGAGCTCTAAAACAGTATTGTTGATGCTGTAGCATTTCCAGTCTCCACCACACACTGAACAGCGGAAGTAGGTTTCAAGGTCCCCTGTTTGTTAGTCTTGGGAGAAACAGAGTGTGAGTGGCACCTGTAAAGTTGCCTTGGTACGGCTTCTTCTGCAGCAAGACTGGAGCTCTCCCAGCTTTGTATTCCCCACAAATTATAGCTGTGGGCCACAGTTACTGGCACAACAGACTGTAAACCACCACAGAGAGGTGCTCTGTCTCCAATCACTTTTTCATCTTTCATGCCATTGGTCACACTCGAGAGCAGGGTTTGCACCAACATACTCTCTAAGGCCAACGTAACCTCAAGATGGGGCTTGCTTACGTTCCTCACATTGGACTGCATAGACAGAATGTGCAGAACTGGTGTAAACGAGGTTCTAACAGAATCACAGGATGGATGAGGTGGGAAAGGAGGATGACCTCTGGAGGCCATCTTGTCCAACCCCTCTGCTCAGGGCCATCTAGAGCAGGTTGCCCAGGATCAATCCCCAGCTCTGGATCTTGGCATCTTCTTTTTTTTGTTGCTGATCACCTGCTGACCAAGGCTTTCATCTATGTTATTTGACTGGGGGTTTTAGAATTCTACTGCAATAGCGTGCATTGCAATAGGAAAATGCATTAGAATATATTGACTATACCTCTCGATGGGGTTACAATGTCGGTAAAAGGCAAAAAAAAAAAAAAAAAAAAAAGTTTCTGCATCTGATTTTAATCCATTCCTTTTGCGGGAAAACTGCAGGCAGGACTCTGAACCATGTCATAAAAGCATGATCCATGTCACTTCTTTAGGAGTTTACTGTATTAGCTGTATTGTCTAAATACCTATTTCTGTGGATGAAGAAATATCTTCTAAAAAGCAACATGAAGAGACAGGGAAAGTACATACTGAGAAGTTGCCTCTAAGTTGCCTCCGGTGCTTCTGGAGACTAGTGGTCCTATTAAATCTGCAAGAACTGACACATTTCTAACACAGCCAAAGCTGTAGAAGACCACCAGTGCAAAATGATCATCAACAACCATCTGTATGGTTCAAACCACATCCAAGAGGACAGCCCCTTCTATACACAAAGATTATGGGACTATAAACATATGTGATGATATGAAGGACCCCTTCAGGGCAAAGACACAGGTGCATCAGTACAGCCCTGTGCTTCTGAGTGAACAGCTGGGTTTTCTTCTAATAAATTCTTCTAATTGTTGCTCCAACTATGAGTGCACATTTGTACAAGTGTGAGAAGTGAACATACTGTGTGAAAAGCAGTGTGCTATCATTAATAGAATCTCACGAATAGAATCAACATGCTACAGTTAATAACAGTTTCATGAATATGTAAATTAATATTATCAATAAACTACTAATAAATAAATATTTAGAATAATTATTATTTAATAATATTATTTATTACTTATTTATTAAAGTTGTGATGCTGTCTCAACGAACTTCTAATCTCCTATTAAAAAATGGAAATTTGAAACACACGAACATTTAAGTTCCAAACAGATTTTTTTTCTTTTTCCTCCACTCAGGATTTGATTTGACTTTACCTCCCACTCCTTAAGGTTTTTGGTGATGTAAAGCAACTTCAATACAATATACACGCAGGGAAAATATTAGTTCTATCCACTTATGACTTACGAAAAACTTTTAATTTCTCATTTTTATTTCTGAGACTTGCAAGTCTTCCACATCCCAATAATAACCAAACTATCTGTCTGAAACTATATGGTGTCCATCATCTTGCTTTTTAATCCCTGGTCTCAAGATGCTAAACAGCTTCCCGTACTGTTACAACCTATCCATTCTCATAAACATAGAAATAGATCACTCAGTGGAATGATAACGTTTTTGCAATACACATTTGCTAACAGAAGTTTAATGACTTCAATGGAGAAGAAAGTAAGGGATGAGTACGTTATCTTGAAACACGACAGCATAATTTTTCCCTTATTCTTCAGTCTTTCAGTTCATTAAAAACAGTGTCATGCAGAATCTAGAAAGTAACTGGCAAAATCCGGCAAACCCAGAATGAAAACTATTACCAGTACATTATTATCTTGGAGAAATAATAATAATTAATAATAATAATAGTAACAGCAAAAATGTCAACACTCTGAAGTTCTCCTTAATCGTCATTCTTACCATAGCTGTTATTCCCCACTCCTACACCCAGTTATCGCACCATTAGACTAATCATATGGATTATAAAAATCATAAAATAATTCCTGATTAACGATCAGTTACATTTCATGACCTGCTAACTTTTTTTTTTTTTCCCACAGAATATACTCTATTATTTCACCTTTTATTCAATGAATATCAAGTACATAGACAATATTCTCTTTAAAACATACCTGCAGTATGAGAGACTCTTTATCACCTTCTAGTCGTGCCAATCTTTCTTGATAGGTTTCATTATTAGTAGATGAATGATGATTCACCTGTGACTGGGGAGAAAAGTACTATAAGAACTTTTACAGTTAATAGAATCATAGAATCATAGAATCATAGAATATCCTGAGTTGGAAGGGACCCTTAAGGATCATCAAGTCCAACTCTTGACACCGCACAGGTCTACCCAAAAGTTCAGACCATGTGACTAAGCGCACAGTCCAATCTCTTCTTAAATTCAGTAATATTAAAATTTCAAGCAATAAATAATAAAATTGATACAGCATGGTTGTTATAATGCAAAATACATGCAAAAAGTAGGTGTACAGAACAAAGCTGTTTATTTTGTATGTATTAAACCTTTTGCACGTGTGGTTTTTAGCTGGATTTTGAATACTTTCTCATTTCCAACAATCAGTAACTGTATAGGAATAGATTTGATATTTGCTAGCAACTTATCACTTCACTGGGAGATTCCAGCTTAACAAGGCAAAAACATGAACTATATGCTTTTAAAGGTCATTCCTTATTAACTTTTGTAGTATAATGAAAATAAGGAATCCTCATAAGTAAACAAGATTTATTTCTGTATGTCCATCTAGATAATCCTTTGACCTCAGCTATAAATCCTCAATCAAAGCATCAGCCATTCTGCTTGGACTATTATTCCACTTGAAGATCAAAGTCTTTTAGATCAGAAATCTTTAACCTTGGCAGCTACATTAGAGCTAAAACTTCCCTCCATATCATTAAATGGTTTTCCCAATGGACAGCCCACAGGCCTTCCCAGTATTTCTCACTTGCACACAATGGTAGGTGAACACTTTTCTGAACACAGAACATCAAGTTCAGCACACTACAAACAGCAAACAGCACACTACTAAGCAGGTGAAGATTCTCCTAGTAACAAAAGCTAGGGATGAAGACTGCCCAGTCAGGTAGTCTTTGTTTGCACCGTTTATGCTGCTGTCATCTGCTATTTTTTATGCTAGATTTAAGAGATATGCCTGTAACCACTTGTGTAACCACCTCCCCCCTTCCCTTACAAACACTGTGAGTTAAATTGCTGCCAATATATTTTAACATAAGCAACTTGTCATCACTGCAAATCACAGCTGAACATTTTATATAATCAGTAACTAAGAATTAATTCAACATCAAATCACAAATAAGACAGACACTTTACTACACTCACATTTAGCAAATGTATAACCCCTGGTGATGTCTGCAGCACTGACTGACTGTGAAGTATCTTCTGTTGGAAGTTCAACACTCAATACCCATATAAGACCTAGTGAATCACACACATGTGGACAAGGAGAAGTGGAAAACAAACAAACAAAAAAACCCAACCCTGGCAAAAGGTCAGCCAGAGACCGCTCGGATAAGTACAGTACACAGAAAATGGCCTGCTAAAAAAAGGGGCTGACTGACACACAGCAGTTGTTTAAGACTTGGGAAGTCTTTGTGGCATGCATTAAGACAAGATAAAACAATGTAATATGAACCAAGACCATCTGTGGATGGTTGGAGTGCACGCTGCAGTTGTGAAAGAGTACTGAGATGAAACTGAGTATAGTTAGGTATCACATGGATCAGCAGGAACTGAATATGGAACCGTAGCACTGAAGTTGTAAGACCAGACAGCAAGGAGTTAGTGTAAGAGATGACAAACAATGAACACTAGACTCATGGAACCACACGAACCAGAAGGCTGAATCAACAAGATTTTCCACAGACAAATATGTTGCTTCAGAAGATGTAGCTTTAAAGACTAAAAATTATTACCCGAGCTCCACAACTTATAAGTTAAATGTATTAATTATATTTCTTGTAATGAAACAATGGGAGAGATGTCAAAAAGAAAAAAAAAAAGTTTCTGATAACGTAGTAAAGAAGTAGAAGGAAAGGTGGCTGGAACAGTTAGGATGGTAGTAGTGCTGCAGATGAAAACTCAAGTGTATACCATACATGCTTTGCCTAAGACAGCTGCAAAGCAATTTCTCGAAGCACCTATATTACACTCTCCATAGAGAACTTGGATATAGTTTAATGATAATCAGATTGCACCTGATATAAATGCAAAGCATTTCCTCAAATAATTCAAAACCATTTATGCCAGTTCTTAAAAAAAAAAAAAAAAAAAAAAAGCAGCTTTAGCTTCTTATTCATCTTTAGTATCCAGATCTCTCTTGAATATGTTCCCTTTAATTTAATTTGGACATAATATTAACATATGCTGAAAATATGAGCGTCTAAGTATCACTTATGTGATCCAGTCATTACAGAGTACTATTCAGAGAAAAAGGCTTAAAAATCCCTCCAGAATATGATACAAAAATAAATAAATAAATAAATAAATCAGACTTTAGAGTATGATTCAACAGCTTTATGTTAAAACAAGGATAATTAGCAAAAATACAAAAGGGTATGGCAAGAAAGGGAAGACATATTTGATCAATTCAGCTAGCTAGCTTAATTTTCAACAGCCTTCTCAGACAGGAGCTCAGAGTCCAGTAAGAAAGGAATTTTTGTTTCCTTGCATGTTATTTTAACAGGAGACAATTCAGAATGCAGCACGTTGCCAGAACTGAACAACTGTTGTTTAGAGTTTATGTACTGATGTTCTATTCAGAGGTTTCTGAAACAAACCTTGAATCTGCATAGTCTGTAAAAGTAAGCCCCTTACAACAAGCACATATGCAAGCTAAAAATTTGAATATAGGCCAATTTACGTTCTCCTTGTGTCTTAGGTTTCATCTCCAAGGAACTCCAACACAGCTGATTTTAAAACAAAACCCACCAACTTCTGAAGTTCATCAGCAAACTGTTACACAGAAATTTATCACTAAGGTTTCTCATACTGGGCTATGGAGGAGGAAGGAGCTGGGAAAAGAAATCTGGCAGTCAGTTAGACTGGTGATTTGTAAGCTTTTTCAACAAGTCACCCGCCTCTTAGCATACAGATTACGTCAAAACCCTCCTCCCTTCTTATTCAGAGTCACATGAATCACTTACAGTTCCACTGATAATTGAATCAGATGCCTGTGGCAACTGTAGTACTTGCATTAATGGGAAAGATTAGGGACATCCATGATATATTGTCTTCTGTTGCAGTTTAGAAGCTGAGAAGAGGAATATGGCCAGCAGAGTTCAACCAGCCAGTTTACCGCAAACTACTAACAGCACACAGACTGCAATATTATATTTCAATACAGGAAAAATGTACACTATAGACTTTTTCCAGTCTCTCTGGAGTTGACAATATTTAGAAGAATACAGACTTCCCAAGTTTTGATTACTGTTTTGGGTCAGCAGAATTGGTGTTATGAGTCACAATATTTGCTATTGTATAGTGGTGAGTGAGAAGCCCACACAGTAAACAATTTTATTTTAGCATCTATCTATGGATATAATACAAATTTAATCTCTTGGCATCCTAGTGCTACCTGAAATACACACCCATCTGAATGTATGTACATTCACTCAGCATACTTGCGGAGGGAGAGGTGGCTGGAACATGATTTCTGGATCTGCAATTCCTGCCTTTCATCTGAAGGCAATTATGAAAGCAACAACAGGATTTTTCTGCTTGTCATTGTTCATTGTTGATTAAGTGAAAATGGCAGTCAATCTGAAAGAGCTAGCAACATATAGTCTGCAATTAAGTACAGGCAAAGCTAGGTAAATTCACGCAGTCCTTAAAATCAAATAATTTTGACCAAATATTTATACTTTTATCAGGACAACTTTTCCCATTACTAAAACTTCTCCTCCAGACAGTTAAGTTACTTAAGGAAGATATCCTTACAGAAGTCATGAGGTTCACCCTTATTATCATAAGCTTAATTAATACAGCATATGCTTGACTGCTTCATCTCTTGTTAGCACAGGTTATGTACAGTAGCCAGAACAAAAGAAACAAAAGCATAGCACTAATGTATATCTGTCTCAGGTCAGCCATCAGCTCAGAGCTGCACACACTTGAAAATTTAAGTCCAAAGCAAGCTACAAGAGTCATCACATTTCCATTCCATATGAAGGCATCTCTTTCAAAATGACAAGTCTTACCCTTCCAAAGTTTTCCTGACACATGAGATTTTCCATTTTGCTACACTTCATCTACTGCAGTTCAAAAAGCCCAGTTTCATAATGCTCTTGGAGAGCACGTGATATCATTTGTCATAAATATTAGCATTTATTTCTGTGATGAAACTCAGTAACTTGTGATTACACCTATATGCCCATGAACCAAAATGGGGGTTATGTCATTTTTATTCAGAATAGCGTGTTCCAATTAAGGCCAGATGGAAGGAAGATAAAGCAACAGCACCACAGAGGAAATTGTATGTGAACCTCTTAACCCAAGCTCCTTAGAAGAACCAAAGAAACTCATGCTGAAGATGACGCACATTTAGCATTTGGAAGGTGGGGGGAGAGCCTTAGGTTCTTTAGCTTGCAACAGAAGTTTAACGGCAACAGATTCATACTTAGGCCCTGTAAAAGAACCTGACATCAGCTACCTGCCAAATGCTTCCCACAGACTGACAGCCAGTCACAAGTAATGGTAATAGTGCCCTGTATATACACAAGAACTCTTCCATCTCCTTCTAGAAAGAGACTGCTTAGAGATGCGCCTCCCCTGGTGTGTCCTGTGACCTCCTTAACTTGGCTTTGCGCCTCACTAACAAGGTATCTTTGAACATCGGTGCTGTTACAAACTCTGCTACAAAAGGCATGAAACCAGGGTGGTACTTGTGTGTCAGATACCATTCAGCTTTTCAGGCAGAATAAGCTCACCCAAACGGTTCTGAAATTGCCACCTTCATATGCCATAAAGTATAGCATAGCTGTACCCACTGCAGAGTTGTCTTTGATATCAGGCAAAATGTTATCAACACAAAATTCTCTCTCTTTGAGAAAGACTACTCCTGCAGGCAGCATTAATTCTTCTTTCTCTCAGAAGACAGAAAAAAGTAAAAAAAAAAAATAATAATAATAAAAAAAAGTGAACAAAGCATGAGCTGTGCCTCATATACAACTGAGACAAGACTAA